AAAGATCAGGGCTCAAAGTCACTTCAGGAAAGCCACGACCCACCAAACCATAGTCGTACATTCTGCCAGGACCCTTATCGCATGTAGTGAGACACGTCGGAGTGACCACCCGAGTGCCCAAGCGTTCAGGCCAGCCCGATTGCACAAAGGGCCCTGGCTCGATATTCCAATCAGCCATGATCAAGAAGGGGTCCGCCAAGGAGCGGACGAAGGAGCCCAGCGCCACGAGCACCTCGTTGTTCCAGCCCTTCACCCCCAGGCCGGGCTGGAGGTAGGCTGAGATCAGCACCAAATTGCCAGCACGGGTGTGGAGCACCAGCGGCACGAACCCGCGGCAGGGGTCCAACCTGCCAGCCTCCAGCGACGCGCGGCGAACACTCTCAAAGCTCGTCGCAGCGATGTGCTTCTTTGTCAATATCCACTCACCGCCAGAGAGGCCCGTCTCCGACTTGCCCGATGGCCGAGCAGCCGTGTGGGTGACCCTCCAGCCATCCTTGTCCAAGCCCGAACGGATGTCGGGCATATCATCTGGTCCTTTGTGTGTCTCGCAGAAGGCCACCACGCTGCGCGCCGACTCCTGAGACAAGAATCGCGCAGCTTGCGGCCCCCACTCCGTGATGTTGCCGAAGAGGATGGACAGCGAGTCATCCTCAGGATCAGGTAGATCTTCAGAAGCCCGCAGCGCTTCGCCCCGCTGCCAGGGGCGCGGCGCCTCCCTGCTAGGAGCCCGCGGCCCCAGCAGCAGGAGGAGCAGCATCAGCACCTTGGCCACCAGGCTTGGCAGCAGCCTTGGCACGGGTTGCCGCCTCCGCCTGGACCCTCGAGTTGTCCTGGAACTTGGCGCGCATGTCCCTGCGCACCGCGTCGGAGACGGCGGGCGCGGCCGCGCTGCCCTGGCTGGCTGCCGCAGTGGCGCCGCCTGGGCCTGCAGCGGCCGCGGGAGGGACGCCTCCGCCGTCTCCGTCACCGCGGACTGCACCACCATCCTCGTCACGACGACGCCGCTTGGTGGCAGCCTCCTTGTGGGCGTTCTTCGCCTGGTCCAGCAACAGCTGGAACTCCTTCTGCTTCTCCGACGCCTGCTTAGAGATCTCATCCAGCTGCTTCTGGAAGTTCTCCAGCGCCGTCCTGTCCGACTCCTCCAGCTCGTCCAGCGCCGCGAACAAGGCGGGGTCGACCTTGAACGTGATGCCGTCGGGCTTGTCAGGGGGCGTGTCGACGCGCTCCTGGGCCTGCAGGCGCGCGCACTCCGCCTCCACCATCTCATCAGCGGCCTTCTCCCAGGCCGCGGTCGCCTTCGCCAGCTGCTGCTTGGCGCTCTCGACGGCACGCGCCGCCTTGTCCAAGGCGTCCTTCTTGCGGGAGCACTCCGCCGTGGCCGCCTTGAGCACCGAGTAGGCTGGCTTGGGCGCGACAGCAGGCTTCTTTGCCGCCGCCAAGGCCCCGAGCTGCGTCGCCAGCTGCGCCGCCTCGGGATCCGCGCCCAGGCCAGCAGACTGCAACGCCTTGGCCATGTAGTCGTCCAACGTCGGCGCGGAGGGAAGCTTGGGCCAAGCAGACTGCCCACCCCACCACGGGGCGTACCACGTGCCGTTCGCCGAGGAAGTCCACCCAGGCATCTGCGTGCCACAGATGGCGCAGGCACCCTTCTGTCGCTTGAGGCGCCAATTCCACGCCCAGTTGCCGCAGCACGTGCACGTGGTGAACGCATCCTTGCTTCCACCGCCCATCTGATGCTCCTGCAGGAGCTCACAGAACTTGCTCCAGCAGGAGCTCACAAAATCGCTGAAGACTGCCGCGGACTAGCGGTATCCACGTGTTCCCCTGTGGAACAAGCATCTTGAGCCAAAATGGCTACGGAGGAGGAGGCGGAGGAGGAGGAGGAGGGGGAGGAGGGAGGGGAGGAGGGAGGGAGGAGGAGGTCAACCCGAGCTCTGCGCCGAGCGACTGCAGGGAACTGCCGCGGAGTGCCCGCAAGCCACGGAGTGCCCGCACCTCCTGCTCCTCACCACGCGGGCACCCTCGCTCGCCTCGCCCTCCTTCTTGAAGGGGCCCAGGGAGACACACACATATAGAATCATCAATGCCAAGATTCCCAATAATTTCTTATATGTTCTGGGCTTGTTGTCTCCCCCCCCAACTTCCGATATGTTTCCATATTATCCTGGGAATCGACGATTCGTTTGTCTGCGTGTTTCCCCTCCTGATCCTTGCCCTCACACGCCAGTCGGAAGAAGCAGGTAACACACATTAAGCAGGAACACGGATCGACCAGATTGAGCTCAGGCCCTCCCATCGAATAACAGCACACAGCGGAAGCAGTTCGCTTCTTGAGCTAGGACGGCGCTTGAAGAAAATACGGGGAGACGTGGGACTCGGGTTCGGGGGACTCGGGTTGGCCTGAAAGGGGCCATCATGAAACTGACGAGACCAAATCTGAGCTCTGGCTTGGTCGAGTGTTACATTTCTTCGAAAGATTGGGATCTGTGCGTCCAAACATGCCTACTTTCAACGACCAGCGTGTACATGTACGGCCTGACTGCCCCCAGGCTACCGCGTCCCCGGGGCCCACCCCGGCGCGCCAGCGCAGGCGGCCAGGGATGGGCCGAAGGTGAAGGATGCAGGGGCAACCTTGGACAAATACTCATCCTCACTCTGCGGGTTGACTGTGTCGCTTCTTGCACTAGGAAGGCGTTTGAAGAATGTTGGGCGAAGGGAAATCAAAAGGTACCGATACCACTACTCCCCAGACCTCGCCTGGGGTGCGTTCTAACCAGAATTTCGAGGCGAATCCAGCGGTGGCGACGACGGAGGCCCAGAAGGCCCACAAGGGGGAGAACACGGGGAGGGCAGAGGCATGTTCGGTGGCAACTCATGGGAGCCTCCCATACCATCTTGTCGGCTCTTGCGAATCGACGCTAATCGACTCTAGTCGACGCTAATCGACGCTAAATCGACGCTAACCGACGCTTACTGACGCTAAATCGGCGTTCTCTCATCGACCCCCAGACGCTAATCGACGCTAACCGACGCTAAAGACGGAATTGAAAGGGTACACCAGGCTCCCATGACTTGCTACCGAAGGCATGGGTGCCCTTCTCCCTCCCCTGAGAGATCAGGACCTGGAACTCCAGAAGCGCAAGCTTGCTCAACGACCGACGCGTCGATGTACGGCCTGACGCGCCCCCCGGCCCGCCCCGCCGCGCCCCTGCTCGCCATCGCTCGGACGGTCCATTCCCCGTGCATCTTTCGATTTCGTGCGTGTATTTTTCGCTGAATGATCAAAGATGCTCCTCGATGGTCCTCGCCGAAGCGTCGCCCTCGCCCTCGATGGTCCTCGATGGTCAAAGATGCTCCTCGATGCTCCTCAAAAAATGCACACGTCGGAGCGACGCCAAGCCTGGGGACCCCCCGAGTCGGGCGTGCGCGGCCCTCGGCGCGGCCGAGAAGCACTGCGCAGCCCCGCCCGCAGGTGAAGCGGCAGATGTTGGCTCGGGGGAGGGGGGGGACGGGCTGACTGCGGGCACCCCTCTCGGGCCCTGGCGCCGGGCCCATCCGGGGCCCCAGCCCTCGGCACTCCTCCTCGCTCCTCGCTCCTCGCGCCTCCTCGCTCCTCGCTCCTCGCTCCTCGCTCCTCCTCGCTCCTCGCTCCTCGCTCCTCGCTCCTCGCTCCTCCTCCTCGCTCCTCGCTCCTCCTCCTCCTCCTCCACCTCGCTCCTCGCTCCTCGCTCCTCGCTCCTCGCTCCTCGCTCCTCCTCGCTCCTCGCTCCTCCTCGCTCCTCGCTCCTCGCTCCTCGCTCCTCGCTCCTCGCTCTCGCTCCTCGCTCCTCGCTCCTCCTCTCTCCTCCTCCTCCTCTCTCCTCCTCCTCCTCCTCCTCCTCCTCCTCCTCCTCCTCCTCCTCTCTTAAAACATGTATGCACTTCAATATGTCCGTGTCCTCCTTGCGCAGGGGCATTTCAACACTTGCATACACTTCTCGAGGTGTGGGTATCATCCTTGCGCCGAGGCGTATTAAAAAGTGTATACGTTTCTCGACGTGTGCGGGCCACCCTTGCGCAGGAACCACCATGCCAATCTTCCCTGTGTCGTTCCAACTGCAACGGATGATCCCCGCAGTGAATTCTGAGGAGACGGACCGCTCTGAAAGCGCTCCGGACGGCCCTGGAACGGATTGTACCCTCGTCCTAGCCCTCGGTGTCCTCGTTGGGGGGGCGCGCTTCTCGCGGCGGCATGCCGCAGTTGGAGCTCACCCATGAGGAGATGCTGGCGGTGCTGATGGGGCCGCCTGCAAACGCGCTTTGCAAGGAGGGGCCCCGTCCGACACCCCCTCTGGTGAGGAGTAAGCCTGCTGCCCGGCCTCGCTTGCCGAGTGCAGGGGGCGCCCCGGGAGCGGGGCCACTCCTTCTTTCCTCTGGCACATTCACGTAGCCCCCCCTCAGCGGCGATGTTCTGGGCAGCGCCGCCTCCAGATCTGATGCCATCAGCGACAGCGACGGGGAGCGGAGGGAGGGGAGCTAACAAACAAATCGGCCCCCCGCCACCCGTGTCGCTGCCCGTGGGCGCTGCTACAGATGGGTGGGCACGGGAGGGGGCGAAGAAACGAGCACCCTTCGTGCCCCTTTTGGGCCCCAGGGGGTCCTTTCGGAGCACAGCAACGGTGCACGAAAGGTGCACGCTGAATTCGCTCCCCCTCACCCATCGCCACAGAGGCCTCCTAGATGGGGTCCGAGTAGATGGGGTCGGGGGATCTGGCTGCGTCGCCGATGCATCGCCGATACATCGCCGAGGCATGATCGATGCATGGGCGACGCTTGCGATGCATCGAAGGCGTCGGCGTGGAGAAGATCGGGCTCCACATCGAGCCGTATCGCCGTTGCATCGGCGATGCGGCGCGATCCTCCGCCCCCATCTGTTCGGACCCCATTTGGGAGACCTAGACGCCACCCCGTTACGCAACGCCCGATGCCCCTGAGAAGGAGAGGAGCTCGCGAAAAGGTGCATCCTGCGTGGCCTCCATGGACTCCTGGCGCGCGGCTGCGAGCAGGGCCCGGCTGTAACCCAATTCGTTCAGCACGATTTCGATGGCGTTGACGCGGGCCTTCTCGGGTTAAGGGGAGGGCAAGTTCCGTCCTCCTCCCCCCCCTCCCTCCGTCCCTTCCCCCTCCCCCTCCTCGTCGTCCTCTGCATTGCTGCCGGGGGGTAAAGGGGAAAGAAGCAAGCAAAGGGGGAACGGGACAGTGGGCCCAGACTTGGGAGATGGGCACCACGCGAGCAGGCAGGAGGGGGTGGGACAGAACGAGGAGGGAGAAGAGGGCAGCAAGGGAAGAGGGGGAGGAGGATTCAGGATGGGATGAAGGATTGAGGCGCTTGGGGAGCAGTCTTAAACTCGAAGCAAGTTCGAGACGGAGAGTTGCCCATACCCACCGTCTGGAGAACCGATGCCCTGGGAAACAAGGGGAGGCGGTGCATTTAGATAGACTGGGGCCCCAGAGGGGCCCTGGAAAAAACTGAATAAATACATATACAGATGTATGCATATATACATATATTTATATCTATGTATATACATACATATATATATATACACACCAGTGTCACGCGTGTGCCCAGGCTCATACCAAAAGACTGAAAGGTCGTTTGGAGCAGGAGGACACCACGACGGCGGGATCGGAGATATGGAGAGAAGGGGAGAGCCGGCGCGGCGCCGCCAGGGCCCGTGGGCGTCACCAGGCGAAGAAAAATACCGCCCCGGGAGCACCCTGGGCGCACCCTGTGGGAAAAGGACCCTGCTCCTCCTCGCTCCTCCTCGCTCCTCCTCCTCCTCCTCCTCCTCCTCCTCCTCCTCCTCCTCGCTCCTCGCCTCCTCCTCCTCCTCCTCCTCCTCCTCCTCCTCCTCCTCCTCCTCCTCCTCCTCCTCCTACCCTGGGCCCGGGCGAGAAGTGCCCCGGGCGCAGCCCGCGCGAAGCCTCCCGCGGAGAGGCGCGTTGTCCACGATGGCGTTTGGCCCCGCGAAGTGCCCGGGGAGGCAGCCGGAAGGCCTCCTCCTCCTCCTCGAAGCCGTCGAGAGGCCTCCTCCTCCTCCTCCTCGCATCCTCCTCCTCCTCCTCCTCCTCCTCCTCCTCCTCCTCCTACCCGAGATGCCCGGGGAGGCAGCCGAAAGGCCTCCTCCTCCTCCTCCTCCTCCTCGAAGCCGTCGAGAGGCCTCCTCCTCCTCCTCGTCTCATCCTCCCCTCTTCCTCCTCCTCCTCCTCCTCCTCTTCCTCCTCCTCGCCTCCTCCTCCTCCTCCTCCTCCTCCTCGAAGCCGTCGAGAGGCCTCCTTCTCCTCGCCTCACTCTCCCCTCTTCCTCCTCCTGCTCCTCCTCATCCTCCTCGCTCGCCACAAGCACACGAGCGTAAAGCACCAGTGATGCAAGATGGACTGGCGGAACGAGCGAAGCGATGGGCACGAGAAGTGCAAGCACTATTCCCACCAACCGATTTGTTTCACTAGATGTGGAGGGAAAGAGAAGGACGAGAAGAAGAGGAGGAGGAGGATAGCTGCTGGGAGTAAAGTGCAATAGCGGGGTCGCACTCGAGCGCAAGCGGGGTTGCCACACCTTGCGATAGGTGTACCACGGGCCCCCAGGAAGCCTCAGGAGGCCCGACCAGGATGCCGAAACTATTCCAGGAGGCCCCAGGAGGGGTCGTCTGGGATCGAGGTTGCGAGGATGTCCATGGAGGCCTCATGAGGCCCGACCAGGAGGCCGCAAGAGGCTACAGGCTCCAGGAGGCCCGACCAAGAGACCGCAGGCCCAAGGAGGCCCCAGGAGGTTCCAGGAGGCACCCAGGAGGCTCCAAGGCAGGGTCTGGGGTACCAGAAGGTATGTCGGGGCTCGATTGTCGGAGGATGTCTCAGGCGAAACCGCCATTCTTTCAGAACCGGGGTCAAAATCATTGAAACCACATTGTGTTTTTGACGGTTTGATCGCAGAACATTGAAATTCTTATATGTTTTTGGACACTGACGTCACGATCTGCGTGAGGGGTGCCACCGATGTTCAGAATTTCGAGGATGCCCCCAACGAAACGGCCAGAAAAATCGCGGACGCGGCGCGGACCTTCATTCATCACCTCTGAGCTCTATTCCCTCGGAGAGGTGCGTATGATCATATTTGTATGTATATACATATATCTGTATACATGTGTTGAAATGTTATACAGATGCAGACACACACACACACACACACACACTGCAACCGAGGCCAGACGGTGGGGAGGATACATACCAGCTAACCTCGGATCAGAACCCCCACATACCCCTGCGGCTACACGGATGCACGGCAACGCAACGAGCGAGCGACACCTGTGTGGCCGAGCCTGCCCGGCACATCCGGCGGGAAGAGGGCGGCCCCCGCGTCGGCAGTGGTCAAGCCTCCCTCCGTGGGCAGAGATGGTGCGAGGGGGGTTGGAGTGGAGGCAGAGGTGGAGAGATGAGCCGATTCTCCACCACGACTACCATATGCAGAAAGGGAAAGCACGGAGGATGGGGAGGTCCTCCTCCTCCTCCTCCTCCTCGCCCTCCTCCTCCTCCTCCTCCTCCTTCCTCCTCTCCTCCTCCTCCTCCTCCTCCTCCTCCTCCTCCTCCTCCCTCCTCCCCCTCCTCCCCTCCTCCTCCTCCCTCCTCCTCCTCCTCCTCCTCCTCCCTCCTCCCTCCTCCTCCCTCCTCCTCCTCCTCCTCCTCCTCCTCATCTTCCTCGTCGTCCTCCTCGTCGTCCTCCTCGTAGTCCTCCTCGTCGTTCTCGTCGTCCTCCTCCTCCTCCTCCTCCTCCTCCTTCTCCTCCTCCTCCTCCCCCTCACTCTTCTACCTATAGTAGTGGTGGACCACCGCATCATCATGGAGGGGGCGGGGGTGTCAGAACCTCGCCACAACCTCCCTCCTGAGAGAGAACGATACAGCGTGATAAACATATCCATCCAGAACGAAGCCACTGGTTGACACATCGAATCAGCAGGACTCGGATCGGGCGAAGTTGACACCCGAATCGCGAATCGGCATGTCGCATCGGAACCAGCGGCCTGGGAAATCGACCGCATCGAGCCAACGAGTGGGGACAAGCCCTGTGGCTGCGAGCTGCGGGGGGACCAGCTCACCGGGGATGTGGTCGGCGGTGGACAAACCTCCCTTTCGTAAACCTCCCCTTAGGGGAATCGGCCCGGGGCCGAAACCGACGGCCCCGCAAAAACGACGGCCGCGACGCCCTCTCGCGAACCGAAGACGGCCAAGTCCTTAATCGACGTGTCAGGGTAGGAGGCCTACCCACCTCCGATGTGGGGGGGGGGCCCAGGACACACAAATAAATACACACAAATAAAAATACTCCCCATATTTTCCGATATTTTTTGGATTTTCGTCTTCACCCCCACTTCCCATATTTTCCTATATTTTCGTAAAATTGGCGAATAATTGTGTCTGTGTGTTTTTTCCCCTCCTGAGATGTGGGGACTCCCCGCCGGCACGAGGGCGAGGGACCCCCGACCGACAGCGAAGCCGCCACGCACCCCCCGCGGCGGGAGGGGCGCCCCGCCCCCGCGCGGCGAGGCACGTGGGCTGCCGGGGTGGTCGACGCCTCCGCCCCCCCCCCATCCGGCAGGTCCGAAGACGAAGCCAGGACGAGGAGGAAGTCGGGTGAGGTCAAGGCGAGAACCTCTGTCGGGGATGGACAGGCCCCCCTTTGGCAAAGCGCGGCTTAGTGAAAACGGCCTGAGGCCCAAACCTGGCGGGCGCAGGCCGGCCACGGCGCCACGGCGCCCTCTCGAGAACCGAAAACGGACAGTTCACTCATCGACGTGTCACTGCTGGGGGCTCTGTCCACCCCCGACTCTGGCAGCCAGCGGTTCTGGAGGATGCGTCGGGCGCAGCGGCCTTCTCGGAGCGTGCCGAAACGCTCTGAGCGCGTTCCAAAGCGCTCCGGGACATGCTTGTCCTCGTCCTGATCCCGTCCGACCCCCGCTGTCTGGCGATACCCGGGATGATCTGGGCCACCCCAGCAAGCCATCGGAGAGGCCCACCTGTGGGAGAGCATCCCGAGGCCCGACAGCGCCGCCGAGAACCAACGAAAACGCCTAAAAACTTCGAACCTCGAGACCGAGAACGTCGTCAGACACAACGGCGGCCCTGACCTCCCCCTCACCCTCGAAACCGGCCGAACCCCCAAGGAAAAACTACGGACATTGAATATTTCCGTCTCTAACCAAGACCCGCTCCTGTTACTCGGCGGCGCGCCCGGGGGAAGTGAGAGGGGGCGGGCCTTCTCAGAAGGCTCGGAACTCCCCTGCCTTTTGAGATTTGTTCTGAGCCTTCCCCGGAGACACAGAAAACCTCTCAGAAGGGAAGATGGTTTCTGAGAAGTCCCGCGGCCTTCTGAGAAGGCCTTCTCCTTCTCACTTCCCCCCCTCGCTCGCCGCCTATCAAGGGTGGGGGATCGTGGCTTCCCCTGTGGCTTCCTGGGGGGCTGTGACGAGCCTCTCTTGGAATGGCCCAAGCGAGGCTTCATGAGCCCTGGGTGCCTTCACTTCCCCCCCTCGCTCGCCGCCGAATTACGCTGCCAGCCTCGAGCGGCAGCATGTCGTTGATCCGCAAGACGCGCCCCGACGCAGATGCATCGGCAGCGGAGGTTGGCCTGTGAGGCGCGCAGGCGGCGCCGCCACCCCTGCCTCCCCCACACACACACACACCGCCGCTTGCCACTCGGCGGCGAGCGAGGGGGGGAAGTGAGAAAGAGAGGGCCTTCTCAGAAGGTGGCGGGGCTTCTCAGAAGCCCTCCGGCCTTCTGCTGAGAGGCGTGTGTTGCGTCTTCGGGGAAGGTTCAGAGAGCTCCGCAGATGGTTTGGGGACTTCCGAGCCTTCTGAGAAAAAGGCCCGCCCCTTCCCACTTCCCTCCCGCCCACACCGCCGCTTGCCACCACACGATGCTGTCCAACCCTCCTTTCCTGCTCGCAGACTCGAGCCATCCCTCTTGCACCGTGATCTCTGGTCCTCGTTTTGGGGGACATCTCGATCATCAGCATTTTCCACTGCATCCTGCCGTGTGTAATCTGCTTGCCGCGTTCCCCTCCTGCCAGCCCAAGTCAGGCAGCCCTAAGGCAACGCAACTTCTTCAAATGCACCACAGCGGCGTACACGTCCGATCTCGGCAACGATGCTCCCCCCGCTGGGCGGGGGGCTGGGATCTCTCTCTGCCTCACGGTGCAAGTCCCGGAGACCTCGCGCGGCAACTTGAAACCCAAGGCACATATCCGAGCAACGTCATCCCATCTCTTACGGGGCGAGCGTGTGGACGAGAGCATGCTAAGATTGCGCGCCGCTCAAAGCTACCCAATGTTTTCGCGGTCGGCACCGTCCCACAACCGCTCGAGGGCGAGCTCTGGCGGGACGGATTATGGCTCGAGCGCGCGTTTGCACCTGTACTCGGAGCTCAGATCTGCGTGTTCGCGTCCGACGCCGTAGTCGTACTCGACAGTGCCAAGTAACGTATGATTAGCGTTCGCTCGCCTGGGCCCCAAGCAATCGGCGCTTGCACTCACGATGTGCAATACATGTGGTGCAAGCTATGTGGCGTACGGTTTGCGGTGAGAAAGGTATGTGGTGAAAGCTGTGCCTAGAAGACGTGGTTGTGCAACGTGCATGGTGTGAAGTATGTGGAGTACGTCATGCTATGACCGGTACGTGGTGTAAGGTATGTGGTGCAGGCGCTACAGTGCCATCTATGTGATGTAAGCTGTGTTGTGCAAGCTATGAGGTGTGGGCTGCATGAAAAAGATGTGGGGTTACATAATGGAGGTGCAGTGGTGAAACGTATTTGGTGCAAAATGTGTGGCGCAAGCTACCTCGTGTTAAGGAAGGTGGTGCAGGCTGTATGGTACAGTGTGGTGCAAGTTGTGTAGTGTGCCAGCTTGTGTGGAAACATGCATGCTGTGTGAGCCCTGTGGTGTGAGCTATGTGGTGCGCGTTATGTGGTATTCGCTACGTGGTGTAATGTACGTGGTGTGAGCTTCGGTGCGGGCGCGGACGCAAGAAACCCTCGCAAGAAACCCAACCCTGAAAACCCACGCGCGAAGTAGACCGGAGGAGAAGCCCGGAACACCCCGAAACCAGCAGCTCCTTCAACGGCCGCGGGAAGTCGCCGCGCATCGCGCGGAGCGAGGAAACCCAGGATACCCTGGATGTGGCTCCAGTGGTGCATCGCAAGGGGCGAGTACATGGCTTCTTCATGCGCGCCCCCCCTGCATGTGGTGCCAGTCGGTGGTGCAGGCTGCGTGGCACCCCGCGCTTTGCACAGGCGGTGACAGCCGCCCACGGGCGGTCGGAACACCGGCCCGTCCAGCGCACGAAGCGCGCCCACGAGGCACCCAGGGCCTGGCATCAACTGGGCACGTGGCGACCCCCTCCTCCTCCTCCTCCTCCTCCTCCTCCTCCTCCTCCTCCCCTCCCCTCCTCCTCCTCCTCCTCCTCCTCCTCCTCCTCCTCCTCCTCCTCCTCCTCCTCCTCCTCCTCCTCCTCCTCCTCCCTCCTCCTCCTCCTCCCTCCTCCTCTCCTCCTCCTCCTCCTCCTCCTCCTCCTCCGCCTCCTCTCCCTCCTTTCCTCCCTCGCCCTCGCCCTCGCCCTCGCCCTCGCCCTCGCCCTCGCACTCCTCCTCCCCTCTCACTCCTCCTCCTCCCTCCTCCTCCTCCTCCTCCTCCTCCTCCTCCTCCTCCTCCCTCTCTCCTCTCCCTCTCCCCCTTCCCCTCCTCCTCCTCCTCCTCCTCCTCCTCCTCCTCCTCCTCCATCTACGTCAGAAGAGAAGGACGAACACCCGATTGCAAACACTGCCTGGGGAACAACAAATCCGTGTAAACGATGCAGCGCACCTCTCCGCCAGTGAGCAGGTTGTACTTTCGCATGCGCGTTCTCGTGCCAATTCTTGCGCTGCGCTGCGTTCCCGGGCACGTTTATCGGCGGTGGACAAACCTCCCTTTAGTAAACCTCCCCTTAGTGACAACGGCCTGGGACCGAAACCGACGGACCTGGACCCGCAGAAATGACGGCCGCGACGCCCTCTCGCGAACCGAAAACGGCCAACTCCTTAATCGACGTGTCAGGGTAGGTCTATCCACCTCCGAGTTTACAGAATGTGGGCGAGAGCCTGGCAGCGCAACACAGCGCACGGTGGACTCACACGGCGCTCAAGGGGCGGGCCCGAGGAACGCCCAGGAGCGCCGGCCAACGCACGGGACGCCCACGGCGCGCCCGCGGGTGGGCACTGGGCGAGACAACCCGGTAGAGCAGGCCAGCCACTCAGGACAGGCATAGGAACTCCCTCGTGCAATCAGCTCTTCGGGGGAAACCAATCAGGATGTGTCAAGATCATCTAGGAGAATAAAAAGTGACATAAGCATAAAAACTCGGAGGTCCGCGCGGATTTCTCGGATCGGCGCTGGACCCCCCTCCCTGGCGCGCTCCGCGCGCTAGGGGCGGCGCCGGAGGCGCCGCCGGGGGGCCCCAGCGCCGATCCGAGAAATCCGCGCGGACCTCCGAGTTTTTATGTTTATGCCACTTTTTGTTTCCCTATCATCGTTCCATTGCCGCGTCTGTCTGCCCTACCATTGAAGCGCACCACCAACGAGAGGGCCCTGCCATCCGAAACCCTTGGGAGAGCACACGGTCAGAGACGGACAGGGCGTCGCTAGAACAGCAGGACTGGCCCGCGCGCCCCGAACATCCCAGTGCCACCACACGTTGGTAAGCCTCGTAGCCTGAGCGGTCTTGCTTTCTGCACACACTGAACGACATTTAGACAGATTCACAAGATGTTATCTGGACGCGTTTCTGTGAGATGTTGAGAAGACTACTGCGGAAAATGTTGCGGGTTGCGGAGGGCTGCGCGAAACGGTCGTACTGTCCGGCCGCTGAACTAAAACCACCTGCGCGCATGGCAGGCGCAAGGATCAGTCCTCCCCGACTTTCCTCACTCCTCATCATGGGAGGCTCGCCTGACCACAGGTTGTGGAAAAGGTCCACCAAGCAGTCTGGAAGCCGCTTGATATCCACCGCACAAGTGCAAAGCGCAGACAGAGGCGGGAGGAAAGCGGAGGGGAGAAGAAGGTGAGAAGGGAGGAAGAGGAGCTAACAGGAAGGAGGGAGAAGAGGGGAGGAGAGAGGAGGCATGAGGAAGAAGACAACATCAACATGATACGATGAAGAGAAGGAGGGACAGGATGGACAGGTGGACGACCATTCTGGTGGCGGGGCAAAGAACGCGAACAACCTGCCGGCTGGCGACTTTGAGCAAGAACGTCGGCCGACCTCCCCGTTTCCCCTGAGGATGTCATCACTTTGGCATCCGAGCGACGATCGAGATGACGTGGCGACCTCACGCCGCGCCGCGCGCCACAGTGGAGACGAGGGCGCCTACGCGCGACCACACGCGGGCAGCTTCCACGCGAGCGTCGGCGCCGACGATCCCATGCTCTTTTCTTTGCGCCGCTCGCCTGGTCCCCTCGTCCTCTGCTCCTCCCCCCCTGCCTCCAGTTCTCCCACTCTTCCCCGCCGCATCGCGAGGGAGGGCCTCTCCTCCCGCTCCTGCCCCCCCCCGCCCCCCCTCGGAGGAGGGCGGCGGCAGCGGCGGGCGCCGAGTTGGGAGCGGCGGGAGCCGGGGGGCGAGCGACAACCGCAGAGGGCGCGGACGCCGTGGGCCGCGCCGCACGGCCGCGGCGAGGCGCTCTCCTTCCGTCGGGGAGCCTCGCGTCCGCGTCGGTGATCATCTGCTTCTTCGCGACGCGGCGGATGGAGAGCGACAGCCGGTCCCTGCGGTCCCTCTTCTCGTCCCTGATGACCTGGGCGCTCCCTCGCCCACGCTTTCTCTTGTGCTCGCGTCTGCTGTTCCGTCCAGAGGGGGGGAGGGGGAGGGCATGGCTCCGGGCCTCTGCTAGATATAGGCTGCTGTTTGCAGCAATGTTTCTTCTGGGCGAAACTCCACCTGCCTGAAGCAGGTGCCGCAAGCAGCCAAAATCTACTCCGCGGGGGGGAGGGTGGGGATGCGAGGGCCCGCGCCGATCGGCAAAACAATGAATCAGAGAACGATCGTCTCCTGGGATCTTGCCTCCTCTCTCTCGGTGGTCCTCTGGGCGAAACATAGGAAACAGGCAACAAACATATCCCAAATAAGGAAAAATCCGCCGACCCTGTCGGCGTGCGGAGGAGGCTGTTCCGTATGACTCGCCGTCGTCGTCGTCGTCGTCGTCGCCGCTCGCTTCCCCTCCTTTCCCGAGGCCCGTCGCCGCTCCCCCACTTTCACCGGGTTCTCCTCCTCGAGCACGCCAGCCACAGCGAAATTGAGCAACGTTGTAGTTGAGTCGAAGGGAAGCCCCTTCCCTTTGATCCCTTCCCCGCCGGGGGCGGAGGGGGTCCTGGGGGTGGGCTCCCCGCCCCAAGAGACCCCCAAGAGACCCCCAGGAAGCCCCGAGGCTCCCAAGCGGCCCCGAAGAGCTTCCCAAGAAGCCCCCAAACTGGCCCAAAGAGGCCCCCGAGTGCGCTCGTCGTCGTCGTCGTCGTCGTCGTCGTCGTCGTCGTCGTCGTCGTCGTCGTCGTCGTCGTCGTCGTCGTCGTCGTCATTCAGGGTCGGCGGCACCGGCCGTAAGGCCTTCGCAATAGACGAACAAATCCTCCCATGACGAATTTTCGCCTATTTTTGACTGCTCCTCCTGTAGAGGGGACGCGCCCGACGCAGTGTTCTAGCGCCAGCGTGTGCTGGTCCACCGAAGCCCTGCGTCACTCCTGGGGGCCCTGGTGCCTGAACACGGAGGACGGCTGCAGGCAGGCACGGGCGAAGCCAGCTTTCAGTCGTGCCTGTCCTCCCACAGGGGGATTTGGGACAAAAAATGCGAATAGTCAAGTAATACCCCAAAATGGTCAAAACATGCCAACAAACAAAAACTCGTCCCCATGCTATTTTTTTACTACTTGTGAGTGCTCCTCCTGTAGAGGGACAGGCCCGACATGGAGCCAGCTGGGGGAATACCCGCGCCTCCGCACGTGCACCTCGCGCGCGCCTGCCCGCCGCAGGCCGGCTCCCGGGCAGCCCGTGCTGCGCGGCGGCGGACAGGGAGAAAGGAGACGAGAAGCAAGCAGACTTGATTTGGACGCCGGAATGGGCACGGAAAGAATGGTACAATGCCCAACAGCAAGTGTTGTCCCCAACCGACAGCGGCCGCTGTTGGGCAAGCGGCCTCCTGTCTCGAATGGACACGGGCCGCGGCGGCGCGGACAGCGAGTCCTGTCCAAAGTGGACAAGAACTGCTGTTGGGCATTGTGCCCATTCTTTCGGGCGTCCAGAGCAGACTTGAGCAGGGACCTACCGTCCCGGCATTCCTTAGGCCTGCCACGAAAGATCCCCGGAACCCGAAAGTGTCCGAACAACAAAAACAATGTTCTTAGAACATAAACCCGATGTGCTACAGTCAAAAACCCTCATCAGGACGCGCGGTAAGGACGCAAGACCCTTGGAAGCAGAAGTTGGGATTTTTGGGGCGGCGGACGACGAAAACCTCAAGGACGCAAGAGCAGGGAAGAGCAAGGACGCAAGGGTACCCTGAGCAAAGACGCGCGTCCTTATCAGGTGTTTGACTGTAAAACAAGACAGTCCCAGCCGGCAACGTTCTTATAACATTTCGTGCAGAACCCAAAAGGTTATCAGAACAGTCTTTGGTAGGCCTATAGGCACTCCAGGACGCATCGCCACTGCTTGACAGACGCAGGCAAGCGCGCAGGCGGGAGGCCAGGGCAGGCGGGACGAAGCAGGCGGGCGGGCAGGCGGGAAGGGACCGAGGGAAACTAGGGGGAAAACAAGCCGACCTCGCTTTTGACCACCCTCGCTTCCAAGAAATACCAAACGATGCCAAACTACGGCCTGTACTGGTCAGGCCGCTTGACGAGGAGGCGCGTGGTATGACTTGGTTTTGCCTGGAAGCGAAAGCGGGGTAGGTAATTCACGCTCTGAGAAACAGCGGGCAAGGAGCGGGGGCGGAGAAGGCGAGGGACGGGAGGGACGGGAGAGGCGGGCGCGGGCGGCCTCCCGAGGAGCCAAGGGGGGGCGGCGTGCTCTCGGCGGAGCTCCGCAGGACAAGGGCACTCTCTGGGCCGACACAAGCCCTGAAGAGGATCACCCCACATTGCCGATGCATCAGTAATGCATCGCCGATGCATCGGCGACGTCGACGATGCATCGGCGCCATCGGCATGGAGAACCGCTGGCTCCACATGAAGCCACACCGTCGGTTCACCGGCGATGTGGCGCGATCCACCGACCCCATCTAGTTACTCGGACCCACCGATCCATCCCCTCCCATCCTCCCGGGATCTCAGGACGGGAGGCCGATCTTCTTGTTTGGACTCGAACATGTCGTTGCAGGGCAGCTACTACAGAGCCCATTTCGGCCTCGTGTGCTGCTGCTGCTGTTGCCAGGCAAAAGGGTCATGGAGTGCACATGCTCGAAGCCCCGAGGTTAACAGAAAAAAGCAATCGTCCACAGATCGCTGGGACCGCTCGGGCTGTGCGCGGCGGACGAGGCCCGATGTAGCTGGCCCGTGCGGCTTCTGGAGCCGCTGCTCCTCCCAAGGCCTGCTTCTCCTCCTCGTCCTCTCCTCTTGACTCCAGCGTGCTCCTTCCGTCCCAGTCCTCCCCGCCACCCTCCTCCTGCCACCCTGCTGCTCCGTGGCCCTCCTGCTGCCGCGTCGCCTCCCAGTACGTTCCTGCTTGCGTGGCAGACGAACCTCCATGCAGCTATGCTATCGATGCTCTCCCCCCTGCTCAATATCCAACCTGCTCCTCACTCCTCCATTCCGTCCCCTCCCTCCTCTATCTTTAGACTGGGTCGATTATGACGAAAACGAGCGCCAAAAGGTCTTCCCGCTAATTCCCGCGAGTCTCCATTCTACACCAAATCTTTCAGCGACTCTAACAAAAAAAGCGCCTTAAGAATCTTCTGGCGAATCTCCAACGCCATCTCATAGAGAAGTTCCCGATATTGCAGAGATTTCTGCACGCCAGAAATGATCCGGCATGTTCTGCTGATGCTCCAGAACAAGTTTCATGCACGCCGATGATTTTCTGTAGATTCCTGCGGAGATGTTCCGGAGATTTCCCCCGAGATTTTAGAACCCTGAGATTTCCCGTAGATTTAGGGAATGCCCAACCACAACTTGGAGAGTTCCGTGGAGATGTCCTGGAGATATTTCACCCAGAGGACCCCGGTCGCCTCTGCCATATTGACCCCATCTGACTGTATCCACCCGCGTCCTGCTCCACTTCTCCCTCATTCTGTTCTCCCTTCTCCTCCTCCTCCTCCTCCTCCTCCTCCTCCTCCTCCCCCTCCTCCTCCTCCTCCCTCCCCCTCAACCTTACTCCCTTCTCCAGCCTCCACTCTGCTTCTCTCGTCCGCCGACTGTTTTTATCCTATATCCTACTACTTATCGCTCATCTCCCCTCCGCCTCATGCCCGCTTCATCTTCCTCCGCGCTACTCCTCAACATTCTCCGTTTCCTCCAGGTACGTGCCTCCCCCTGTTGGCACACAGTCTGCGCAAAAGTATTCCGACATTGCGCTAAGCGGCGGACCATGGCAGTCACCCTGTCACCCGGAACGAGCCATTCCTGCGGGGATCGTCCGCAAGGCAACTACACGTGTTCCGTTACAGTGTCTCCGCCCAAAGACGTTGCCTCACATTGAAACAGCGTGTTGGCTTCGATGTGCAATGCCCCTCAAGAGGTCAAAGACGAAATCGAGCAACTGCTCCCCACACGGTGCTTGGCCCGAGTGATCCCTCCCCATTCTGTCAGGAACTGGCGGTCGCCTGCGGGATTCGCCCAGGGTGCCAACCCGTGGCCGCCCCGCGCGCGCTGGCTGGCGTTGCCCAAATTTCTGCCTGGTGTTAAGTCGGGCCTGTCCCCCTACAAATAAAAAATACCCCAAAAATTGTCAAAAAATAATCCAAAAATAGTTTGGTGCATTTTTGGAGTATTTTTTTTCCGTCGAAAATCCCCCGGTAGGGGGACAGGCCCGGCATAAGCCTGGTGCCACCGCGGCCGCCTCGCAGCCGGCCCGTGTGCTGGCCGGCGGTTTCGGGCCTGTCGTCCCAAGGGCGGGGGGAGGAGGAGGAGGAGGAGGAGGAAGGGGAGGAGGAGAAGGAGGAGGAGGAGAGAGGAGGAGGAGGAGGGGAGGAGGAGGAGGAGGAGGAGGAGGAGGAGGAGGAGGGGAGGAGGAGGAGGAGGAGGAGGAGGAGGGAGGAGGAGGGGGGCCGATCGCGGCCACCTCGTGTGCGCCGGCTGGCGTTCGCAGGCTTTTGTGGCACGGGAGGGCCGCCCGTGGCAGCCTCGTGGCCGCCTCGAGGCCGCCTCGTCTGCTGCGTGGCGCTTGCGCCAGAGAGCACGCCTCGTGTGTGTTGGGTGATCGCTTCTCCTCTCAGTAGGATGCTCTACCACCCTCCCGCGCCCAGACTGAATAGACCCCTTCTCCGGACTGCAACGTATTCACAGATGATTGTGTGTCTCACCTTCTTGCTTCCGTCTGGAACCATGCATCGAACACCCAACCTGTATTGGCACGCATAATCGTGAACTTGGGAAGATTATTGTCCAATCAAGGCGAGTGCACATGTAGAAATCACACGTCGCACCTCACAGTTGCGGACCTGAGCGAGGGGGCGGCGGGATAGTGGGCAGTCTGCGAGGTTTTGAAAAAGGCCCGCCGCAAGTGCTGGTCTTTTCATACATTTCAAACGAGCCCGCCGCAAGCGCCGAATTTGCGTCAAAACGATGTTGGTGGGTCGCGGGTGGGTGGCGGGTGAGTCGCGGGTGGGTGTAGGGGTGGGTCGCGTGGTGGGTCGCGGGCGGGTCGCGGCCGAGCACGACCACAACAACAACGCAACAAACATAACAGTAACAACAACGACAACACAACTTACAAAAACAACAACACCACCAACAACAGCAACAACACTAACACTAACAACAACAACAACAACAACAACAACAACAACAACAACAACAACAACAACAACAACAACGACGACGACGACAACAACAACAACAACAACAACAACAACAACAGCATCAGCAGCAGCAGCAACAACAACAACAGCAACAACAGCAGCAGCAACAACAGCAACAACAACCACAACCACAACCACAACCATCACCACAACCACAACAACAGCAACAGCAACACCACTACCACCGACAACGACAGCAGCAACAGCAACAGCATCAACAAAAACAGTCATGTTAATGACTGAACGCTCTCATCTGCTCGCGTGCCATTCAACACGTGTATCTCAAACCCTCGATGCACGCCCTCTTGGTCTTCGATCGTGCCCCCTCAAGGGGATGTCTTTCTTACATACGTGCCACGTGTAGTTCGTGCAGCCCCTAGGGCAGGGGAAGAGAGGACGGATGGAAGGAAGGAACAAGAGGGACGGAGGAGAATTGAGCACGAGTGAGAGTACCAGGAGGGAGGCTATGAGCAGAAAACACGTGGCAGAACCAGACGGACAGATCGGGCTGGTAGACCTTAACGGGCGGGACGGGAAGGCGGACCCAGGTGGCAGGGTCGAGCCGGCGGGTTGCTGAAGCGTGCGTCCTGCATGCATCGACACACGCGAAGCCTGTATGACCACAGCAACGCACCCTTATGGCGGGAGACTGAAGCTCCAGTGCAGACCTCGCACGCCCAAATATTTTGGATGCACTCGGGGTGGACATGTTACACTTAGAAGACAGATAACGTGAACATGTATGCTCCTGCCCCCCGTTTTGCGCCTGGCAGATGCGGACTGGTAGCAATCACGTGCCACTGCCTCACATGTTGGATCGTGGCGACGTGAACGTGGACAATCATGCGCTCATGCTGCGCTCTTCGGACATCCCTGGACAGGAATGGTGAGAACCTGCGGTGTGAGAGATCTAGGGCAGCGAGAGTCTGAACCCCCCGACGCGCTCTCTCTCTCTCTCGACCTGGGAGACCCGGGATGGGAAGAACCCTGCGCAGCTGCCTCCATTTCTATACTTTGGGAGCCCTGCTGTGGTCAGAATCCTGCGCACATCGGGACCCACCGCTGTCTGCACCTGGGACGTACCACCCTCGAGCAGGCACGCACGGAGTGCACCTGAAGCTCGAACGGTTCTGAGGCGCACCGTTGTGGATCTGGGGCGCACAATCACCAAGCGGGCATGAGGGAACGGGTCGCGCAAGATCGGAGCCGGATCTGTGGACAGGGCCAGGTATCCCCTGGGGAATCGATGCTGTGAAGGGCCGGCTGTGGCCATTGTTAATCCATATAGCGAGATGCCAAGTCCGGTACTTGTCTGGCCCCGCGGCAAAATCGCTGGCATACACGGGCGTCTGCAGAAGGCAGAGGTCAGCGACGCCCCGTCGCGAGCGCATTCGACTCGATGCCTGTATATGATGCTAAACTCTGGGAGCAGTGCACTCCTCCGCCATTGATACTCCGATGGACAGCGCGCGCATCACGCAGACAACATGTTGATGAATCATACAAGTAAGTCTGCTGCTTGGGCGCGCCTCGATGTTCGAGATGAATGTGTCCGAGATTTCAGAGACGTGGACGAGCCCAGTCCAGCCGGTATCATCCAGGTCGATGAACGCGCCCCACTCCACCAAGGACACGACAGTTCCTGCAGGCAGGAGTGTAATAAAGATCAAAGAACGCCAGGGCGACCTAGGCTTCGCGGAGACTTTGCATGGGACGAGGTGAGCTCAACAACGGAGGATTGAAGCGAACATGCGAACGAACGAAACTTAAAGGAACATGGCTACGAGGACAAGGCGGTTCTAGAAGGGAAGGTGACTACGAGGACAACCTATAGGCTTCGAACATGAAGCTTACTGGCAAAGCTCTCGCTCCAGAAATCGAACTCAGCAAACTCGTAAGAAAAACGTCGCAGGTGTCAGCGAAGTGACGCCAAAGGTAGGACTGGAGCTCCCCGCCACCCTGAGACGCTAATCCTTTTGCCAGCAGTTCTGGCAAATGTTACAGCGGGGGAGGGAGCAAGTAGAGAGAGATGGAAAAAGAACCGTAGCGCATACTCGTGCGCGCCCTGGAGTCTCCTGGAGTCTGCACAATACTGCGGCAGGGAGTGCCGCAGCTGGGGCTGTCCTGTGACGATTTCGCCAGGAGCAGGAATCTCCTTGGTGAAGGCGAGAAAGGCTTCCTTCGGGCGCATGGCAGAGACAAGCGCTTCAGAAAAGAAAAACACCGCGGAGACACACGTATCAAAGCCTGCAGTGTAAAGGGTAAGCGAGATGAGGCCAGCCTAAAGGAGGGTGGAACATGGTGGATGGCATAAGGAGGGAAGGAGGCTTCACACACGCGTGCTCTCTTTCTCACGACCATCATCATGAACAACTTCTCCGAACGACGAGTAAGCACAAACCGCAATACAACTGAAGACGACAAAATGTCACAAACAATGTCGCATGACGTTACGGGTGCCCACATGCTCGAACGCCCCGCTCGTGAGGGAAGGCCGTCCTGAAGCCCCTCTGCAGACACCTTGTCTGCTGTGACCATGTTGAGCAACTTGTCGACGCTGCTCTCCTTGGAAATCGCATAGGTAATTGTCCAGGGAGCTGACATCAACGTCGCACAATCGCACGCTATGCTATGGACGGGAGGGCACGAATTCAGCACAGGCTTCAGGATGCAGAGGTGGTCGCACACATTGCGAACGTCGCGCGAGCACACGTTGATCTGAGACGGAGAGCTCCTGCCAACTAGCAGGCTCCCTAGAGAGCTCAAGGCGGCTCCCGAGACCGCCAGCGGGCTCCGCTGAGGCCCCGAGGAGGCTCCAAGACGGCCCCAGAGGCCCACAAGAGCCCCAGAAGGCTTCAGCAGGCCTCAGAAGTGCATCCAAGAAGAAGCTTTCCAGAGGCTTCCCACGAGACCCTAACTGATACCCCAGAGGCCTCTGACACACAACCCCAGCACGGAGGCGGGATGGACCGAAGGCCACCAGGTATGAATCATCATCACCATCGAAGTCAGAACCAGATCACCATGACAATCGTCAGCCTGAGCATCACCATGACAATCCTCCCCCCATCCTCCTCAAGAACCCTTCAGGAATCCGCAGGAATCCTTCAAGCCCTGGGAAGCGTAAGCAAGCTTCCCTGGTTGTAATCCGCCGTTCGCCTTGTATTGTATGATTAGCATAGGAATCGTACACGTTGTGATCAGTCCGATTCTGGTAGTTGTGATCAGTCCTAAGTGCTTCCTGAACGGTCCGAAGTGGCTGGGATCGGTCTGATTCTCGCCATCTCCCCCCAGGGTAACGCTAACCATCGCCAAGGAAGGAATAAAACGCGCTCCAGGTGAATTGTATTATCTAGTTCGCGCGGCGCGCGTGGCGGCCACTGGGGGGTCCCGCGCCAACTCCTGGCCGACTCCTGGCCAACTCCTGGCCAACACTCCGCCAGCTCCAGGGCCACCTGAGAAGCGCCCCTAGGAACCCCCAGTGAGCTCCAAGATGGCCCAAGAGATGAGATCAATAGGTGGCAGGCGTCGAGGTGGCCCGAACACGATCCCCAGAGGCTTCAAGGTAGACCCAGGATGGTTCCCGCACAGACTCCGAAGGCCCCCAGAAGCTCGTTCGCTGTGATTGGCCTCCGGTGTTGGAAGGACTTGAGCGTCACTGCCTTTTCGGGCTCCGACCGCCCGAGACAATCCCAACCCAAGAGGCCCCCGAGATCGGTCAGACCAACAGGCTCCCCAAACGGCCCCAGAACAGCCAAAGAGGGCACCAAGACGACCCTCCTGGCCTCCCACGAGGGCTCTGGAGCCTCCCAAGAGGACCCCGAGAGGGGGAATCCGAGAGGACACGTCGAACCCTTCCCGAGACCGCCAGCAGGCCGCCAGGCCCACCAGAGCCCCCCAGAACACCGCCCAGAGGCCGGCGATGGGCCTCCCAGAGGCCCCAAGAAGCTTCCCCCAAAGAGGCGCCGCGCCAACGACACAGCTTGGCCCCAAGAGTGTCCCACGAAACCATCGCGAGGCCTCATCCTCAACCTCCCCTCCTCCCCCACCAGGTACGGCGTGTGGAACCCCCGCCGCCTGGTCTGCAAAAGCTCTTCCCCCTCAGTCCCCTTACCCACGCACTCCTCGTACCAACTGCTTTGCTCAGAACCCTGGCAACCCCTCCTGGGGTCCTCCCCGGGCCTACTCATTCCGCCAGTCTGGGGGTCCAGGCTGCGGACTAAGCGTCCGCTGGAGGCCATTTTGCCCTCAACTCAAGCAGGCCTTTGCACGAGAGACTTCCGAACGCCTCCGGGCGCCGTTTGGGACTCCCCGGAGGCCCTCCGGGGCAGTCTTCGGAGCTTCTTGGAGCCCTGGCTCCTCTTTCGGGCCCTCCGAGGCCGTCTCGGATCCATCCGAAGCCCTCTTCGAGGCATGCTCTGGCGAAAAACTGGGGAAGCCAAAAACCTTACAAAAACCATTAAGATTTCAATAATTTGGGCCGTGTCCGCCTCCTCTCTGCGCCTCTTGGAGCTCTCTTGCAGCATCTTGCGCCACTCTTGGGGCCTCGCCGGCCACGTTGGAATATCTACAAGGCCTCCCTGGCCGTCCTGAACGTCTCCCGGACCCACATTCGGCCATCTGGCCGCCCTTTTGGCGCCCTCCTGGGCCGCCTGGGGCGCACCCAGGGGGGCCCTGGAGAACCATCTGAAGCCCCAAAAACTCGTGGGACTGCTCCTTTTCACTCTCCGTATCGCGTTCCAGTCTCCTCCGCCGTCTTCGACACCTTCGGGTGCCCTGTTGGACCGTTTTCGGAGCCTCTTCGGGCCCTCTGGTGACCTTCCTCGGCCCTCTTGCGCGTCTTCTTGGACCCAAGACCCTCCGGGGCCATCTTGGCCCCTTCCACAAACTCCGCGTCGAGGTGGAAGAGGAGCTATCTTAGACTCCCTCTCTCGCCCTGTGGCACGCCAGTCTGGTGACGTCTTCCGAGACCCTCTGGGGCAGTCTTCGACCCCCGCCCCTCCACCACGCTGGCCTGTTTTTCATGGCCTCCCCTCTCCTCCACCACGCCTCCCAGACTCCCCACGCTTCGGGGATGGACAGACCCCCCTTTAGTAAAACGCGGTTTAGTGAAAACGATCCGAGGCCCAAACCTGGCCTGGCGCAAGCCTGGCAAATAACGGCCACGGCGCCCTCTCGAGAACCGAAAACGGACAATCCACTAATCGACGTGTCACTGCTAGGGGCTCTGTCCACCCCCGAGCGCTCCCCCCAGAAGCGCCTGCCGGTGGTCCGTGGCGGCAGCACCACGGCCCGAGGGCTTGCCCTGCCGGATGCACTTAGGCTCTCTGGAGCCTGCGCGCCCGTCTGGTCCCTCGAGCCGTGCCTGCGCTCACCACAAAAGCGCCTTGGCTGCAACCAGACAGTCGGGACGTTGACCCAAGGAACCCTAAATGAGGAACGAGGCCCCCTTTTTTCCCATAAGCTAAACTTCGATTTCCCAGCGAAACCCTAAGCAAAACCAAAGGCAAACTGCAAAACAACTAAGGAACACCGAGCCCCTCCCCAACGAAAACGGTTCCTTCCTCAGCGCCCCGACTGTACATACAGCTCTCCCACACGAGCTTCCCAGCTGAATCGATGAGCTGGACGTCCACAGTGAGCCCAGCCGAACCACAGCCTTGCCGAGCGTCACGCCACCTAATAGGAGCACGCCCCAGAGGGGATAACAGAAGGTTCGGTCTCAGGGATTCGCCTCCCTGCCACGATCCCTTCACATTGCTCAATCGCACAGATAACTCACCCTATTCCAAGACGCAAGTCCTGAACACCAATCCGTAATATTAGCCCTTACTGAACGCTCATCCATAACAGTAATCCTTAAAACGTACTCTTGACAGCAATCCCTAATACGAATGCGCGACACTAATCCAGGCAAACCTTAGCAATAATCTTAGCACTACTTCGTTGCCCTGGGATCCAAGCCTGCCCTCCAAGCCTTTCTGGACCCTCTGGGGTCGCCATGGACACCCTCCGCAGAGAAACTCCGGGTTCCAAAAAAAGTGGGGCGGCGGTGTCTGCCCCCTCAGGGGCATTCGATTGAATACGCTGCATGCAGATGGTCTTGCTGGCGCCGCCGTTGGGGTCGGACGGAAGGGGGGGCAAAGAGAGAGTTAGCGATTCAGCTGACGCATCTGGTTTTCAAATCGCCTGGCAGCGGAGACGCAACCTGCTGCACGCAGCAGGTTTCCGGACTATATCTCTCCCAATATCCCCCCTTTGTCTTGGCACGAATCAGGCGGGCTCGGAGGGAAACGCATCCTGGTTTCCAGTGCCTTTTTCCAGGACCAGCGTTCTCCGTCCTGAGTGGCTTCAGACAGCCCAGTGTCCGAAACAGCGAAGAAAAAACGCAGGACCAGTTTCCCTCAGGACCCGCTTCTGAGGGAGAAGGGAGGAGGATGAAGGGCAACGTTAATGGGTGACCAGCTCAGGGGGGAGAGACATCGACTTGGAGTGGGCGATGCATAGCTGATACATCGGCAATGGGCGGTCTCCGATAGCGACTCCGCACTGTCTGGGCGGGGTGGGCTATCGGGCCCACGTCGGCGATGGATAGCCGATTGGGGGTCGATGCATCCCTCCCTGAGCCTGTCACCCCTGGCGTTGCAACTAGTGTTCGGGCCATGACTCGGCTTAGGTCGGGCATGTCCCCCTACAGGCGGATGTTCGGCGAACCAAAAATAATACCCCAAAAGTGCCCCCAAGTATTCAAAAAACGCGAAACGAGAGCAGTCCCCAAATACTTTTGCACCATTTTTGAACATTCCTCCTGTAAAATGACAGGCCCGACATAAAACTCGGCTGGCTCACCGGGCGCCGTTCGGGACGATCTGGGCAGCCCGGGACGCCCGTCGGCGATGCGCAGCTGACGGAGGGCGCCCCGAGGCCCGGAGGAGGGACGAGGCGGAGCGAGAGGGAGGAGGGAGGGGGTGGAGGAGTGATCCCCAAGTGACCCCTCTGCCGGAGGAAGGAGGGGGGAGGGGGAGGGGGAGGGGGGAGGGTAGGAGGGGGAAGACAGGGAGGAGGAGGAGGAGGAGGAGGAGGAGGAGGAGGAGGAGGAGGAGGTGGGGGAGGGAGGAGGCGAAGCACGAGGAGGGACAGCACCTGGAGGCCAGCGAGGCAGAGGCGGCGCCTCCGCGCCACCGCCGCCATGCCGAGGGCAGGGTAGCGAGGAGGGAGAGGTCAGGAGGGGAGGATGCGGAGGGGGCAGGAGGGGGCAACGGGGGCGAGGCGGGGAAGCGGGGGAGGAGAAGGGGGGGAGGAATCAGAGGGAGAGAGGATGTAGGAAGAGAGAAGGAAGGAGGAGGAGGAGGAGGAGGAGGAGGAGGTGGCAGAGGAGGAGAAGGAGGAGGAGCGGAAAAGGCCGGGATGAGGAGTTGACGGTGCAAGGGGAGAGGAAGGAGAAGGACGGAACTGATGAAGAATGTCAGCAGGAAGGAGCAGGGAGACCCTAACCAGATCCTATCCGGTCTGGCGGTCCCCACAGAGTGCAGGCTTGGGGAGCCCCTTACCGAGTGGTCTGGGTACAGCGTCCTGACCCCTACCAATCGAAGGAGGAGGAGGTGGATGAGGAGGAGGAGGAGGAGGAGGAGGAGGAGGAGGAGGAGGAGGAGGAGGAGGAGGAGGAGGAGGAGGAGGAGGGGAGGAGGCGTCGGCGCAGGAGGGGTCGAGACCGGGCGGGAGGAGGGGGAAGAGCGCGAAAAACCAAGCAAAAGCACGAGGAAGGTTGGAAGACGGATGGGGGGAAACGGAGGGATGAAAGGAGGGAGGAGGAAAGGATTCATCAGCAACTTGTGGGGAGCACCATCTGCCCCCCGGATCCCCAGCCATCCGCAGCATATCCGACGCCATCCGAGACTCACTGAGACCAGTCCACGCCCCATCCGAGGGCATCCCAAGACCATCCGAAGCAATGCCGAGGCCACCCCGAAGCCACATGGACACCGAAGCACGCGGCAAATACGTCGGGGCAGATAAGGATCCCCCAGAGAATCCTCGTGAAGGAGGGGAGGGGGGAGGGGAGGCTGGATGAGGAGGAGGAGGAGGAGGCGGAGGAAGAGGAGAAGGAGGAGCGAGGAGGGAGGAGGGAGGAGGGAGGAGGAGGGAGGAGGGAGGGGGGGGGGGGAGGGGGGGGGGGGGGGGGAGGGGAGGGGGAGGGAGGAGAATCCTCGTGAAGGGAGAGGAGGGGGGGATGGGGAGGCTGGAGGACGCGCACGGTCGGCCCGGCCCGTGTCGCGAGCCCTGGCCAGCCGCGAAGTTAAGCTCCAGCGCCCGGGCCGGCGCAGGGCGGCAAGGAGCGGGGTCGACGGCACGCGGGCGACGACAAAAAGCGGGTCTGCCGCGAGATGGCGTAGTGACCTTACTGAGGGGGCCCAGGGGCACACAAATACATAGACACAAAGAACCCCTAAGAGGCCCCAAAAGGCCCCCACGAGGCCCTCAGGAGGCCCCCAAGAGTCCCCCAAGCGGCCCCAGGAGGCCCCCCAAATGCCCCCCCGAGCGCCCCAGGAGTCCCCCAAGCGGCCCCAGGAACCCCCAAAGCGCCGCATTGACACCAGGCCCTCGGGCAAACGGCAGACATGAGACCGTATGGGCCGGCGGAATGAGCGAAGCGATTAAATAAATAGACACAAAGAACCAGATTCCCCATACTTTCATATATGTTCTGGGTTTTTGTCTTCCCCCCACTTCCCATGTTGTCCCATATTTTCTGGGGGATCGACGATGAATAGTGTCTGTGTTTTTTTTGTCCCTCCTGAATGACGCAGCGACCTTACGCGGTGGCTTACGCGGGCAGCCAGCGCGTCACGCCGCGCTGGAAGCGAGGGCGCCTGTCACTGCACCGGCCTTGCAGACGTGCTGCAGCGGAGCTCTGCGTGGAGTCCTGCCCGAAGCGGCGAGCGAAACACGAAGTGCACTTCGCGTGGACCTCTTTTTTGGCCTCCCCTCCTGGCCAACACTACTCCGCACGGAGCTCACGCCGAAGTCCGGAGCGAGCTCCTCCGGACAACACCACCCGGGCCCACTCCGTCGCTCTCCGGGCGCCATCCGCCCCGCGACGCCGGCGCCAGGGGTGCTGGCGCGCGGGCGGGCGCGGGCAGCCTGCGCACCCCGTGGCGGCGACGGCGACACCGCTTCTTCTTCTGACTACCTACCAGACCACCCCAACCCAACCCGAAGACCCGAACTTCGGGTTGGGGGGGGGTCAGGGTTCCACATGCGTTTTTGCGATGTTTCCCGACCCCCCCCCACTGGAAATCGAGGGTAAATCTGAGCCTTCGGGTTGGGTTGGGGTGGTTTGGTGGGAGCTTGTTTTTCTTTAGATCCAGGCGAGTTTGCTTGCATGGCGTTCGCCCCCCCCCCCCCCCCTTCTCCCCCCTCGCCCCTCTTCAGTCGAACACGAGCGTGCAAGTACCTTTCGACTTGCGTGATTTCCGCACGTCGAATTGTTTTCGGCTTGCTTCAGACTCAGCCCCCCCCCCCCGTCCATGCAAGTAAACTTGCCCGAATCTAAAGAAAAACAGGCTCTGGGTGGTGACCTTCTGCGTCGCGCACGAGGCTCCAAGAGACCCGCGTCGGCCAGCGGGGATCGGCCGGCCCCCGCGGCGGCGCGGAGCCTCGTCGCGGCCGCCCCCCGGGGAACCAGGGGAGAGAGGGAAGGGGCCCCAGGACACACAACTACAAACACACACACGAGTAAGAGGATCCCCACTCTTTTCGTATTTGTTCTGGGTTTCTGTCTTCCCCCCCCCCACTTCCCATATGTTTCCATGCTTTCCTGGGGATCGACGATGAATTGTGTCTGTGTGTTGTTCCCCCTCCTGAGAAAGGCACTGGGAGGGGGCGAGAGAGGAGGGCGAGATGAGAACGAGCATCGGCAGCCAAAATCGAAGCTCGGAGAGCCGGGGACAGAGAGCGCGAGAGACAGAGAGAGAGAGCGAGAGAGAGAGAGAGACAGAGGGAGAAAGAGAGAGAACAAACAAAAGAGAGAGAGAGAGAGAGATAGAGAGAGAGAGAGAGCGCAGCCGCAAAAGGGGACCTCATCTCCGTCGTCGTCGTAGTCTGACGAGTGCTTGGAGACCTTCACCTCCGCCTCGTCCCCGACCACCTCGACCTCCGCCTCTGCTTCTTCCTGACATCTGGGAGAGAAGCGACTCGGTCCATGCATGTGCCGTGCTTTATCGCCTTGAATTGGGCCATCCTCATCAACGTCATTATCATCGTCATCGCCCTCCAGCTCCCCTACACCGTCCCACCACCAACACTGGTTCCCCCCTCCCCTTAATTCCACCTTGGCACTTACCGCAACCTGACTGCGCTGCGGGGGGGGGGGGGGGCAAGTCGGTATGCCTCTGGCACGCCACTGGGTCCATCCCAGACCTGAATGCGGCTGAATCGCAACTGTGACTATACCGCGCTGTTCTGCTTAAATTGGGTCACCCCCTATCCTCATCCGTCTGCTACTCCTCCCCCAAATCCGTTGACGTCTCCTCATACTATATATATATATATATATAGATTCCTCCCCCTCCTCCTCCTCTTCCTCCTCCTCCTCCACGATAATCTTCCCTTCCCTCCTCCTACTCATCATCACCCCGATTGGTCGTCCCTCCCCGCCTCCTCCCAGAAGAGCCTCCAAAGACCAAGAACATGGCGTATTACAGCCTAATCGCCTGGATTATCGATCCTCCTCCTGCCCACTCTCGCCATCCCCCCTCACGTCCCCGTTGTCTCTACCTTTAAGTCGGGCGTGTCCCCCTACAATGGATCTTTGGCGAAAAATAATAAATACTCAAAAAGTGCCCCCAAATTGTCAAAACATGCTGAAAAAATAGTCCCCAGACTGTTTTGCCTATTTTTGAATATTCGCCCTGTAGAGGGGCAGGCCCGACTTAACTCTACCTAGAACCACCATCGGCATGGGCCCGGTGCCCAGGGCCAACACGAGTGCGCCCTTGCGGACAGCGAGCCCACGCGTCTCTGCCTCCACGGCCTGGGTGGCCAGACTGGAACCATCATTGATGGGCCTGTTTTCCACAACCACCAACAGAAGTTGGAGGGGGAGGGGCTCCTCCTCCTCCTCCTTTTCCTCCTCCTCCTTTTCCTCCTCCTCCTCCTCCTCCTCCGCCTTCCCTCCTCCAACTTATGGTGGTGGTGGTGGAAAACAATCCCATCAATTACGAACTCACGGTTTCCAGCCCGCACGATGACCGTCCCTACAAGCGAGGTCTGTTCGTAGAAGAACCCAGAGAAGGAATCAAACAGGACAAGCCTGTTCATTGGACGCGCAGGACCGCTTGACAAACGGCAGTGTCAGGGGTCGGGATGTGTTCTTCTCCCGCGAACTTACCCACACATCCTCAGAGGCCTCCCAAGAGCTCGGCGGTGCGAAGTCAACCTTGGACCTCGTTTCCGGTAGCAGCTAGTGGCTGCAACTCTCCGCAACTGGTACAGGACCGCCGTGAGGGACAACCTGCGAGGGGGACCAGCTCGGGGGGGGGAGGGCATCGAGCACGAATCGGCGATGGACCGGCGAAGGGCCCCCGATAGCGAACCCGCACGCTCCTGGGCGGGGTGGGCTATTGCGCCCGTGTCGGCGATCAGTGGGCGATCGGGGGTCGATGGATCCCCACTGAAGGCTATCCTCGGCGGTGGAGAAACCTCCCTTTCGAGTGAGAACAGCCTAGAACCGAAACCGACGTACCTGGACCCGCAGAAATGACCGCCGCGACGCCCTCTCGCGAATCGAAAACGGCCAATTCGCTAATCGACGTGTCAGGGTAGGAGGTCTATCAACCTCCGATATCCCCCCGACGTTGCCCCTGAGCCCTTCCTGTGCCCAGGGTCGTAGGCGCGTGGCCGCACGGCGCCCAGCAAGCCCGTGCCTTGAGCAGGGGCCAACCGTCCCTGCATGCCTCTGGGCTCCCCACGAGATGTGTTTCTGCTATGAAAAAAATGCCCCGAGACCACAAACGGTGCCAGCATCGGCCAGGCATGTTCTGATAACAGTTCGTGCAGACCGCCACAGGTTCGGGGATGGACAGACCTCCCTTTAGCAAAACGTGGTTTAGTGAAAACGACCTGAGGCCCAAACCTGGCGGGCGCAAGCCTGGAAAATAACGGCCACGCGCCCTCTCGAGAACCGAAAACGGACAATTCACTAATCGACGTGTCACTATTGGGGGTTCTGTCCAGCCCCGATAATAGTTCGTGCAGACCGCCACAGGTTCTCTGAGCAGCCTTTGGGGGGCCTCTGGGCAAACCAGGACGCTTCGCCACTGCTCGAGCGCCCGCGCGACGGCCCCACCCGTCCGGCCACGGCCCACCCCCGCGGCAGGCCTAAGAGCACCCGCAGCCCAGGGGAAGTGGCAGGAGGGGGAGGGGGCGCGGGGGCGGAGATGGGTGATTGGGCGCGGGTGGGAGAAGGAGGGAAGGGAGAGAGGAGGAGGTAACGATGGACAGGGAGAGGTGGGGCCGCGAGTGGAGGAGGGAAGGGAGGGACTGAAGAGAGATGTAGGGAAAAGGAAGAGAGGGAAAGAGAGAGAGAGAGAGAAACAACAGAGAGAGAGAGAGAGAGACAGAGATCTAACAACAAAGAGAAGGGCGAGGGATCCGAGGGAGGGCAGCAATCCGACGGGCGGCGCATGGCGCAGGAGGAGAGGTGTCGGCAGGCCCGGGGTCGGCAAGCAGAGCGAGGCGTCCTCTGCCGCCGCGTCCGCCGCCTCCCCCTCCTCGGCCTGCTCCTCGGCCTGCGGGGGAGATCGGACCGATCGGCCCGACGACGCCTCCTGGAGGAAGAGGCACAACGACGCAAAGCATGCAGTAGGCCACAAGGAACTTCCCACAAGAAACCCAACCCTGAGACCCCAGGGGCCCGCCAAAACCAAAGAGCCCTCCTGACAACGAGCCATCCGATGCACAATTGTAACGGATCGGATGTCCGCGCAGACATCTTGCATCGGCGTTAGACTGATGTCGATCCCATCGTGCTCAAGGACCACACCCTAACACAAATTTCGAGCTGCCCGAGAAGTATCGAAACAGTGTCTGCCCGACACGCCGGCGAGGTGCCGAACGAGCATCGCCTCCCATGGCCCGACAAGTGACAACCGTGCAGGCTCGATGCTCTCCTGGTGCGCAAAGATTCGTTCTGGCAGTGAAGGCCAAAGTAGATTAGAACCTCATAGCGCTGGCCATCGCTCGGACGTCCATTCCCTGTGTTTGTTTCGGTTTCGTGCGTGTTGTTTGGCGCCCAATGATCAAAGATGCTTCTCGATGGTCCTCGCCGAAGGAAAAAATTGAACACGTCCGAGCGATGCCAAGAGCGTCAGACCCCCTCCCCGCACTCCCTGCCCGGCGCGCGGAGGGCGTCCGGTGGAGCTCCAGAGGAGGCCGTCCGGGCGTGTTACTGGGCGGCAGGCCCAGCGCCGACAGGAGAAGCCGGCAGATGCGCTTTGCGTGGCTCAGTCCAACAAATTACAGGGCAGGTTTTGATTACATAGGATTTGAAACATACATATATATATATAAATAGGAGCTTCACTCCATTATTAATTGATGCATAGATTTATGCATGAACTCCTCGGTGTTTTCAGTACGAGATCCATGCATGTTTAATACATGATCCGCACGCGGAGCATGTATTGAGAACAGCACTGTAACGAGTTTAACGTGTTTGTCGTCGTGCCATGCTCATACTGACATCTCAAAGCAATCGGTGGTAGTGCGCGAAGCAGCGGCCAAGTGTACTTCTGGAACCACGATCGGCCGCCAATCGCCCGCGAGACGAGAACGGAACACATCAGAAACTGTCTACTATGTGGCCTAAACCGCGTTTTGATCGACACCTGGGCTTGAAAATGTTTACCCGATAATAGAGACCCGAGATCGAAATAAAACTATTTGCATCAACAGAACCTTTTGGAGCTATGTGCGGAATTCCTGGATCGATGTTGAACTCCCCTACCTGGCGCGCGGCGACCGCCAAGGGCCGCGCGCCAGGGGCGGCGCAAGGGGGGGCCAGCAACGATCCAAGAGATCAGCGCGGAGCTCCGACACCACCGATGCATCGACGATGCACCGAGGATGCATCGGCGACGTCGGCGAGTCGTCGGCGTCGCGTCCGCGACGTCGGTGTGGAGAGAATCGGACTCCACATCGAGCCGCCTCGCCGATGCGTCGGCGATGCGGGGCGATCCTCCGACCCCATCTGCGCGGACCCCATCGGAGAGGCCGAACGAGGAACGGAAGGGCCCCTCTGGCCGCGGCCACTGCCGGTCACGGCCACGCACTCCCCGAGACCAGCCCTGAGGAGCGGCCCGAAACCTGGGGCCCCTTCTCGTCCCAAAGTGGTCCATGCTTCAGCGTTCTGACTGCAGTCGCCGTCGTCGCCCTTGACGCTGGCGTGGTCGTCGGCGGCGGCGGCGCCGTCGTCGTCACTGTCGTCGTCGTCGCCTTGGTGTCGGCGTCGACGGCATGGTCGTCGTCGTCGTCGTCGTCGTCGTCGCTGTCGTCGGCGTCGACGGCGTGGTCGTCGACGTCGTCGTCGTCGTCGTCGCCTTGGTGCCCTCGCGCACCAGGCGGGGCCGGGAGCGCCGCCGCGACGGCGCCGGCGCCGCGTCCTCGCGGGCCGGGGGCGGCGGCGGCAGGAGAGCGCGACGGCACCCCGCGGGGTCTGGTGGCTCGTGCTGGGGGGGTGCAGGCCGGTGGGCGAGGACCGGGCGGCGAACAGATCCTCGTTCGGGGATCCATTGACCCAGGTCATATCCAGACCCAGGTCCGTCGGGCTCTGTAGGAGGCTGCAGGATCCTGTGGGATCCTGCCGAATCCTGCCTGCACCTGAGCCTGGGTCAATGCAACCCTGGCTCTGCAGAATCCTGCAAGATCTGGCTGGCTGACCCTCCTTTGCATTGAGCCCCATCTCAGGGCACCCGCCTTGTTCGCGGTCCGGATTCCGGGGCGCGATCCCGCCGATACGCCGTCGCACGGACAAGTTTCTCGCGGGGCCTCCGCGAGAACAAACGCCCCGTGTCCGCAGCGTGGCGGCCCAAGGGCCTGGCCCGCGAGGCCGCGGGTACGGATTTTTTGCGACCACGAGTGGGGGACCCCGGAGGCAGCGATACCGCTCCTCCCCGGACCTCCCCCGGGGTGCGCTCTGCCCATTGCCGCGGAAACCAAAACAAAAAGCAGATTCACGGTCGGGGGCGTCCAAAGGGAGGGCGTCCCAGACGTGGGCTCTCACACCGCAGCCCGAGGCACATGCGCAGACGAGGGGGGGAAGGACGGGGCGGGGAACGTCATGCAGGATGGACGAAGGGGGCCATGAATTCCGGGGAGATCTCAAGGCCCGGGCCATGATGCACAACCCTAGCCGGGAAACCATCAGGTGCCGATACTGCTACTCCCAGGACCTTGCACGGGGTGCGTTCTGACCAGAAGTTCGAGGCGAATCCAGCGGTGGCGGCAACGGCCTCCCAGGAGGCCCAAAAGGGGGAATACGGGCGAAGGGTAGCGGTATGGGTACTTTTTCCTTCTCTGACCCTCTTCCCAGACGTGCGATGTCCTGATCTAATCAAACACGGTGCGCCCAGAAGTCCGACGCCCCGGCCCACTCCCCGCAAGGCCGGGTGTTCGTCCCGAGCCGTCTTTTCTTGCGGCCCCGAGGCGCCCCATGAATAAAGGCCTCCTAAATCAGGTCCGAGTGGATGGGGTCGGAGGATCGCGCCGCTTCCCCGATGCATCGCCGCTGTGTCGGCGATGCATCAGCGACGTCGGCGTGGGAAACATCGGGCTCCTCATCCAGGAGACCCAGAGCGAGGGCCCCCCCATGGGGCCGAGAATTCCCTCGAAAAACCTTCCGCCGGGATACTGCCACGACGGGAGCACCACCGGGCTGGTCTTCACCCTGGCACCAGGCACTTCTGGCGAAGGCCCCCCCAACAAGCTTTTGAGGGGCAAGGATGAGGGGGGGATAGGCATAGGGGGGAATACATCGACCGGGAAACGGCGATACATCGTCGATTGATCGGAGATAAGCCCCCGATAGTGAATCCGCACCTTCCTGGGCGGGGTGGGGCTATCGGGCCCCTATCGGCGATCTATGGGCGATTGGGGGTCGATGCGTCCCTTCCTCTGCCTATCCCCCCTTATCTTTGCCCCCGAAAGCTGCCGAGAGCAGCGGGCCCCCGCGCGCCCCCGCAGCCTGGCGCGGCGCCGGTTCCGTAAGAGGGCACCGCCCCTTGCATTCGCTCGGGAAGATGCAAAATCCTCCTCGACCCCATGGTCGTCGCCGAAGGAAACAGCACACATCCGAGCGATGCCAAGGTGAAGACGCGAAAAATACCGATAATATGGGTTTCCCCCCAAAAAACATGTGGTGACGGACCGCATGTTCACCTCGGAATCCCCAACGGCCTCATCGCGCGGTCCGTCACACGTCTTGGAGGCCCTGGACTCCCCGTTCGCCCGAGACGTCCTAGGAACACGACCCGACTCCCAAGACCGCGCGACGACCCCGAAGCCCCAGCGACTCACTATGCAGTGGCTGGTCACCACACCGTTTGGGGGCCGAGATACCGCTGCTCCCTGGACCTCTCCCAAGGTGGGTTCTGGCCAGAAGTTCGAGGCGAATCCGGCGGTGGCAACGAAAACCTTCGAGGACGCCTCAAAGGGCGCAAACAAATAGTAGCGGTACGGGTACCTTTTTCCTCCTTTGATGAACCGATCCCCCCCCCTGAACTTACAACTGCCATGGGTAGGGTAGGAGAGGGAGAAGGAGGAGAAGAAAAAGGTGGAGGAGGAGGAGGCGGAAGGGGAGTGGGATGACGATGATGATGACGATGATGCTGATGATGATGATGATGAGGAGGAGGAGGAGGACGAGGACGAGGAGGAGGACGACGAGGAAAACGAGGAAGGGGAGGGGGGCAGGAGGCAGAGGAGGAGGAGGACGAGGAAGAACAAGAGGAGAAAGAGGAGGAAGAGGAGGAGGAGGAGGAGGAGGAGGAGGGGGAGGAGGGGGAGGGGAAGGGGGGATGGGGGAAGAGTTTAAACTCGCGTGCTCTCGCCCGTGAGTGAATGCCCCTGGTCTCGGCACCCCGCGCAGGCGACGCGCTCGAGGCAGGGTGGGCCAGCGGCCTCAGCACACGGCGCTTCGTCTAGCCGTTCTCCAGCGCTGGCTTACGGAAATTCTGCAGCACCATCTTGCGAGCACGCCTGATGTGCTCGTCGACCCGCTCCTCGCGGCAGGGCTGCGCCGTGCCGAGCCGCGCCGAACCAGCACCGCCGCCGTCGGCCACCGCCAGGGCCTCCTGGCCTGCCGAGGAGGCGCGGGCCGCCGCCGCCACCGCGGCCCCGCCGCGGGGCGCGGCCGCTCCTCCACCGTCGCCGAGGGGCTGGGTGGCGCTCATGCCCTTGTCCTTGCCCACCGACGCGGGCGCGCCCGCGCGGCTCGTGCGCCGCCCCGCGCTGGACGGCGGGCGGCTCGGCTGCGCAGGCAGCTCGTCCGCCCAGCTGTCGTCCTCCATCATGGCCTCGGCGACATCCTCGCCCTCCACGTCCATCTCCTTCATCTCTGCAGCAGTGGCTCCTCGCCGACGTCGACCGCGCCGTCGCCTCCGCCGCGGCGCCGCGGCGCCAGGCGGCAGGCCACCCGCGGGATCATCAGGGGTTCCATCATGCTCGGCGTCAGGGGGACGATGAGGAGCAGCAGCACGGCGTCGCGAAGCCTCCAGCTCCGCCGCCGCCGCCCTGCACAGGCCCTCGGCGGCGCGCAACATGCGGCAAACCGCAGGCGCTCCGCGGGCCAGCCCCGCCGCCGAATGGGCCGCCAAGGTGGCACCTCGGGCGGCCGCGATTGCAGCGCGGGGATCAGCAGCCGGCATCACCCGAACCGAGGCGGGCGGCGCGGCCCGGCGACACCAGGTTCGAGCGAAATGGTTACTGGGGGATGGGGGAAGAGGAGGAAGAGGAGGAGGAGGAGGAGGAGGAGGAGGAGGAAAAGGAGGAGGAGGAGGAAAACGTCCTCGTCCTCCTTCTCCCTCCTTCCACCTCATCATGGTAGTGGTGGAAAACTGGCCCCTCAGACGCCCCCCCTCGTTTCCGCAACAGGGCCCCTGGCCACCGCAGGCCCTGGGCATGGGGGGCAGGGCAGGAAGAGACGGCAACCACGAGCTCAAAACATGTTTTTTCTGGTATAAACCATGCCCTGGGCGAGCGTTAAGGCATTCACTCTGAGAGGGGGGTCAGCTCAAGATTAAACATTGTTGCTCGTGGACGCCGAGCGTCGCTGAGATCCACCCTGAGGCGGGTCAACTCCAGATTGCACCCTTTTCGTGAACGCCCCCGTGGCCTCTGCGTGCAACCCGCCACCTGGCAGGAGAGATAGCTCCAAAGACAAAGCGGACCGATCTATGCTCATGTATCGATCTGTACAACTGTAGCAACAATAGCAGCAACAAAAGCAACACACGATTACCCTGGCGAAATGCCAAACCCCTTTCGCAAAGCGGGGCATGAGTAGCTTGGTGACATGGGCGCAGATACTTCTGCGAGCGGCATTCGCGAAGCTCGCAGGCCCCAAGGATTGCGAGGTCCCGCTCAGATCTGCGTGGTGCCTCATTCCGCTGGACCCGCGAAAGGTTCGACAGTTTCGCAGATCGCACCCCTCCAGGGACGGCGAGGTCCCGCTCAGATCTGCGCCGTGCATCACTCTGCTAGACCCTCCAGCAACCCGCGGAAGTGGCGACAGTTTCTAAGATCGCACCCCCCCAGGGACGGCGAGCAACCGCCCAGATCCGCGCGGTGTCCCGCTCCGCTGGACCCACCAGCAGCGCTCGAAAATGGCGACAGCTCTGCAGATCGCAACCTCCCAAGGACGTCGAGCTACCGCTCAGATCGGCGCGGTGCCTCACTCCGCTGGACCCACCAGCAGCGCCCGAAAGTGGCGACCGTTTCGCAAATCGCAGCCCCCCAAGGACGGCGAACTACCGCTCAGATCCGCGCGGTGCTTCGCTCCGCTGGACCCTCCAGCGTCAATTTCGCAGATCGCAGCGCCCCAGGGACGGCGAGCTACCGCTCAGATCCGCGCGGTGCCTTACTCCGCTGGACACACCAAAGGCGCTCCTCAGATCGCATCCCCCAAGGACGGCGAGCTACCGCTCAGACCGGGCGCGGTGCCTCACTCCGCTGGACCCACCAGCAGCCCTCGAAAGTGGCGGCAATTTCGCAGATCGCAGCACACCCCGCGGTACCGCAAGCAATACGCACACACAAGACGTACGCACAAGGCAAGAGGAGACAAGAGGGAGCCGGCGAAGAGAGGGCAGGAAGACAGGAGGAGGGAGGCGGGAGGAGGAGAAGGACGCGACAGCAGTGCTCTATTCAAAACGAATACCCAACCAAGGAGGGTTGGGAAAAAGAAAAGGGGAGGGAAGTGTGGAGAGTGAGCGTGCAGAGTGACCGGACTTGTCGCCTGGAAGCCCCTTCGGCGGTCCAAGTACTTTACGGCGTTGAACGTCGCGGCCTGGAGGTCGCGTCGCGGTTGTTTGCTGATCAGAGGGTGGTTCTTTCAGGTTCGTCAAAGGGCCATAAGGTCGATTCGGGAATATCTTGGGGACGCCTTGAGATCATATGCAGAGGTCGCGTTCGCGTCATTATGAGGTCGCTAGAAGGTCCAGTTGGGGTTGTTCTGGGGTCGTCTTAGGGTCCTGGCATTGTTGTTGCCCCGGGGTAGTCTTAGGGCCAGCCACCGGGTGATAGGGTCCTCTCGCAGTTGACGACATCATGAATGCCGTCTCGGGGCCCCCCTGTGACCGTCACGGAGTCGAAGGGTCGTCTTGGTGTTGTCTTAGTGGTCATCAGGAGGTCGTGCGATCATCGTAGTGCCATAGCACCCCCCCGAACAATAGAACATGCAAACACCGTGAAGCAACTAGGCTGGGGGCCATGGGGGCTTATTGGATTGGCTGCGAGGTCTCAGATTCAGTTTGTGGGGTCCGCTTTAGAGCCTACAGGTATCGTTAAAGAGTTCGTGGGACATGTTGGGGTCGCGTTGATATCAAGTTGGGAACGTGTTGGGTCACCTTCAAACCATGTGTTGCCATGTTGGGATCAAATGAAGTCGGTTTCGTCTCAGGTGTTCGGATTGGGATTATATGGTGGTCACAGGGCCGTCTCAGGCTCATGGGGTCACCTTGCTGCCATCATTGAGTTAGCACGGAATTATCGTGAAGCCACCGGAATGTGCCATAGAACCTTTCAGGCCACCTTGAGGCTACAGAATGTGCCTTCAGGCATTTCGGGTACCACGGATGGCCGCTGCCCCCCCGCAAAACACCAGAAAGATTCAAGTCGGCACGCGCCTTACCCACGCCGTACCGTTTTATGATGCTCCTCGTCCTGTCCTTGTTGTGCCCCCTCTTCTACCGTCCATTTGTTTTTCTCTGTGCCCCCTCTTTCTCTATTTTTCCCCTGCCCTGGCACTCTCCTGGCCCCCCGTCCCGCCCCTCGCTCGCCCTCCCCCCCCCCGCGGTGGCGGCCGTGGCGCGGCCGCAACCCGCATGCAGAAACGTCGATCGGCCTGCAACGCGGTTCTTTCGCACGTCGGCTAGGCGCGCTAACGCGACACCAGCCGTCCCCACATCAAGTGGCGAGCCCCAAGCTCTGCCCAGACAAACCAAGCACACGGCAGGGCGAAACCAGCACCGATGATGATCGGAACGCCGACACACGGACAAAGCCTGCGCGCGACAGTCCAAGAGAGGGGACTAGGCGGGACCAGGGCCGAAAAGGCCAAGGAACTACGATCGAACCCTTGCCCGTGGAAGAGCGAGCGCAAGGCCTGAGAGAGAAACGACTCCCCCTAGCCCAGGTCCTCTCCCAAGCCCCTTTTCTCCCCGTCTCCCTCTGGACCTCCACGGGGGGACTGCGCGCGGGTCGCTGAAGCATCCAGGAGCGGCCTCGGCGAAAAGCCGAAGACACTGATTTGGCCAAGGCGTCGGGAACCAATCGACTAGTTCGATGCAGGGAGAGAACGGACATGAATCCATTTTGAATCCGTCGGGGGCATGTTGGAAATCTCCTGCGGACATGTAGAACAACCGTTCGGAGCCTCTCAAGGCCTCCTGGCGGCCTCTCCAACCAACTTAGAAGGCGTCTGGACCCTCGATGGTGCGAATCCAAATCCATGAAACTCGTAATCGTCTGGGCCACTGTTGACCTCTCGGTGGCAAATGCGTGAAAGTGTCCACTCCAGAGTTAACCCTCCGACCGGAGATTCTGCTGAAAAATGTTGAATCTGGATTTAATCACTCTTGGAGGGGAGCGCAAACTGAATTTGAGTTGCTATTGAAGAGAAAGACTGCGTACCCCGGAGGAGCATGCAGCATGTGGGAAGCAATCGGTCCAGATTAGAGCTAGAGTGACGACCGACCTGAGCCAGAAAGCCTGCCGAGCAAGAGAAACACGCACCCTGAACCAGCAAGCCGCACAAGAGCTGGAAAAATGAGCCTCCAGAGCCAGAAACATCGCGGAGCTAGGGCAGAAAGGATTCATAGCAAGAGAGCGCTCGTATCTCAAAAAAGGAGCCGACATAACCTGAGAGCAACCAGCCCCAGACCAGAGCAACCTTCGGATCCAGAAAGCCTGCAGAGCGAGAAGAGGTGGTTCAAGAACCAAGGGTGGCTCGATAATGAGAAAGTAGGGCGACTCTAGGGCGGCATAACTCAAATTACAAGACCCAAACATCATCCCCCTGAGCAGCCTGACGAAACGTCGTCCATAACGTGAAAGGCTGTGGAACTGGATCAGAAAACGAGTCGTTTCCAGAGATGCCGGCGCAATTTCAGAAAGCAACCTCCGATACCAGAAACCCCGAAGGGCAAATGAAGCGAGTGACTAAGCCTTCGTAACTGGCCAGCCCCAGGCCGAGAATGCTTTGAGCACAAGGCCTGGGAAGTGAAAAGGGCATGCGCCGCGGAATGAGAGAAGAGGCGAAGTGCTCGCCAGCGGGGCGCTTTAGATATAGAGAGGTTTAATATGTATTAAACCCTTTCCAGATTCAACAAAGGTTAATCGAAGTTCAACAAGTTCAACAGAGTGTAGTCCACATTCAACAAGGTTGGTGCAGGTACAAATTCAACAAGGTTTAATCCAGACTCAACCTTTCTGAACTCGTGACTGCACACATTTTTGGGCAGGGCGGGACGCGGCTTCTGGGGCGGTCCTCGCCGCCTTCGCAGCGCAGGAGCCGGCCCACGAGCTCGGCCTTGGTGCCCCCGAGCTTCAGGGAGCGCTCCCGGCACAGGACCTCGCAGCGAAGGGGATCCTCATCCTCCTCCTCCCCCTCCTCTCCTCCTCCTCCTCCCTCCTCCTCCTACTCCTCCTCCTCCTCCTTCTTCCTCCCCTCCTCCTCCTCTCCTCCTCCTCCTCCTCTCCTCCCCTCCCTCCTCCTCCTCCTCTCTCCTCCTCCTCCTCCCTGCTCCTCCTCCTCCTCCTCCTCCTCCTCCTCCTCCTCCTCTTCCTCCCCCTCCTCCTCCTCCTCCCCGTCCACCCCCTCCTCCTCCTCCTCCTCTTCACCATCCTTGCCCTTCTCAACCTACTCCTCATTCCCCGCCAGGGGGGGGGACTAGGGGCACATTACGACCAGAACGACACTATACAACCGAGAAAGGGCACTTTCTAACCAGCAGGGATGTTCCCAAATGGACACCGTACAACCAGGAAGGCCACTTCACAACCCGGCAACTAGATGCACATTAGCGACAAACACGTTTCGATGTCCGAGCGCATCGGGAGCGCCCCGGATCGGCGGCGCTGGCCGGAGGCCATTACAATATAAGGCGCGTAGTCTATCGCCCGGATTACTCCTCATCATCCGACGTGACTGCCATAATCACGACGCTCAGGGACACGCGTGGGAGAGCTTGACTGGGTGCGGGGGGGTCGCCAGGGATCAGGGGAAACAAGAGGAGAGGGAGAGCCAAGAAGAGATGGGGAACGCACCGTAGTTACGATTGGCGAGGAGGCCGGCCATGCCGCGCACTCTCCTCTCAACCCCTGACGTGAGATGGCGTGCCCGAGCCATGGGGGAGGGGGCGGGGAAACCGGGGAGCAAAAGACAACACGCGCACGCAGACCCTGGCTTGAGCAAGCTCTGGGCAGCAGTCGAGGCCCGTTCCCCACCCACTCGGGCGACCCCACCAGCGCGCTGCTATTGAACAAGGGAGAGGCTGTAGCATAAGCTCATGAGTAGCACGCGTAAGCTGACAGACGGCGCGCGTGCCATTGAGACATATTCTTCTGATCCCCCGAGCGGTATGGTATATGCCTGACGGCGTAGAGATGGTGCGGAGAAAAAGGACTGGTCGATCCTACGAATGGCGCTGCGGTGTCCCACCTCTGGAACATATCCTCTTGAGGCGTTTGACGTCGGAATGGGGGGCTGAGGATGAGAAAAAGGAGGAGGAGGAAGAGGAGGAGGAGGAGAGGGATGAGAAGGAGGAGGAGGAGGAGGATGAGGAGAAAGGATGACGAGATGGAAGGGAGGACACGGAGCGGAAAAAGGCTGAGAATGGAAGGCATTGGGGACAGAGAGGAGACACGTGGGGGTTCGACGGGAAGGGCAGAACAGTGTGGGAAAAGTGACGTCCAATCCTCCCTCCTACCTTTCCGTAACGTCACTCCTCCTCCTACCCCTGCCCCCTCACCAATGCATCTCCTCCTGCCTCGTCCGTCTCCGTATCCTCTGCGCCCTCCCTCATTCTCCCATTCGCCTCCTCCGAGGGGTGGGGGAGGACGATGGGGAGAAGAGAAGGAGGACCACAGAAAGGCCCGAGGGAGGAGGGGGAGTAATTAGGAGGAACAGGGTGAACCCAGACGTGCGACGTCCTGATTCTTCAACACGGGGTCCCCGGAAGCCTCGACCCGTTGCACAGGGCTGGTGTTCCCCCCCCGCATCGCTCTCCGGCGGCCCCTGGGGGCCCTGGCGAAGACCCCCGGGAGCCGCAGACGGCCAAAAACCTCCCGCGATGACTTTGCCACGACGTGAGCACGTCTGGACGCTGGTCGGCAAGCGGTGACTGAAGGGGCCCTGGGACACACAAATAAATACACACAAATAAAATGATCCCCCATATTTTCCCATATTTTCTGGATTTTTGTCTTCCCGCCCAATTCCCATATTTTCGCATATTTTCTGGGAATCGCCGATTAATTGTGTCTGTGTGTTTTTTCCCCTCCTGAGTGACATGGGGTGCACCGGGAGAGAGAACTGAGGCCCGAGGGCGAGAAGAAGGGGAGGGCGAGCAGGGAACCCAGACACGCGACGTCCTGACCTCTTCCAGCACCGGGGCCCCTGGAAGTCCCGACTTCCCCCATCCCTGGGGCCCGTTTTCCATCCTGAGCCGTTGTGTTTGACGGTCCCGAGGCCAAGGCGAGGGGCCTCCCAGGGCCGAAATGCGCCGAAAGCCTCCCGTCCTGTTTTTTCACGACGCGATCATGTCTGGGAAGAGGGAGGACACGTGCGTCTGGGAGCACGAGGGCGCAGAGAAGGGCAGCGCCGACCCGCGGCGGCCTTCAGCTCGGGCAGCGTCAGCGCATGCAGGCCCTCGAGCGGGCGGTCCTCGCCGCCTTCGCAGCGCAGGAGCCGGCCCACGAGCTCGGCCTTGGTGCCCCCGAGCTTCAGGGAGCGCTCCCGGCACAGGCCCTCGCAGCGAGGGGGATCCTCCTCATCCTCCTCCCCCTCCCCCTCCTCCTCCTCCTTCTCCTCTTCCTCCTCGTCCTCCTCCTCCTCCTCCTCCCCTCCCTCCTCCTCCTCCTCCTCCTGCCTCCCTCCTCCTCCTCCTCCTCCTCCTCCTCCCTCCTCCTCCCTCCCTCCTCCTCCTCCTCCTCCTCCTCCCCCTCCCCCTTCTCCCCCTCCTTCTCTTTTTTGCAATGGCAAGATCAGTCAGCATCGAATCGGAAGATCGAATCTGATCGGTATGTGTTTCGAGTCTGGACGCATTGGTGCAGAGTCGGAATCAAGGCGGTTCGGCCGCGCCTGGATGCCCAACGGCGCTATGGGCCGAGCTCGATGTCCACTCGACCGGATGGAGATGGACCATGAGCCAGAAATGGGTGGTTGGAACGGTTGGGCGTTGCTTTTGAGGGGAACGATGAAAGGGGGGAGAAACGTGTACCTTCCGTGCCCCTGTTGGGCCCCAGGAGGGCCTTATCGGGCTCCGAAGGTACTGAGGTGCACAGGAAGTGCAAGAAAGGTGCTCGGATCGCCCGAAGAAGGGCTTCAAAGAGACCTGCGGAGGCCTCTGGGAGACCTCCGGAGACGTGGAGAGAGCTTGTCTAAGACCTCCAAGAGCTCTGGAGACCTCTGGAGACCTCCATGGAATTCCACGGACCTCTTGGGAAGCGGAGGAGGAATAGGCGGAGATGACGAGAAGGCACAGCAAGAGGGAGGAGGACAGTTTGGGGCACAGGATTGTGAGGGAAGGGTGGAAGGAGGGAGCGGTGACGAGGACGAGGAGACGGAGGAGCAACATGCGGACTCCGGGGAGAGGAATAATCAGAGTACGGGAGAGCAGGAGGGTGGGAGCAGAGAGAATCTGGTGGGGCCTCCACCGATGCGGGGCAGAGGTGGGTCCGCGCCTTCAGCTCCGGCAGTGTCAGCCCGAGCAGCTCGGCCTCTCGGTCGCCTCCGCCAGCTCGCCCCGCTCTCTGCACGACGGACCTGTGGGAACGGGAGTGGGGAGGAGGAGAGAAGGAGGGGGGAGGAGCGGGGAACGAAGGGGTCCTTCCTCCACCTCCTCCATTCCTTCTCTTTATAAATAACTTCTCCCCGTCGCACCACGAACGTTTCGGCGTTTCCGGGCCGGGCGGGCCGGGCGTTTCGCCTGAGACTTCCTCACCACTTATGGCTCTGAAGCTTAAAAGTTGACAAGAGTTTCACAGATGGAGGGCGGATGTTTTTCAAAATGTGGCTCTCGCCTCAGCGCCGCGCACATTCGCCTCATAATTTTACAAGGGTTTCACGGATTGAGGGCGAATCGTTTTCAAAATGTGGCTCTCTCCCTAGCGCCGCGCCCATTCGTCTTGAAACTTGCAAGGGTTTCACGGATTAAGGGCGGTTCCTTTTCAAAATGTGGCTCTCGTTTCAGCGCCGCGCACATTCGTCTTAAACATTCGCACGAGCTTCACGGATTAAGGTCGGCTCCTTCTTTTCAAAATTTGGTTCTCGCCTTAGCGCCGCGCACACTCGTCTTAAACAATTGCAAAGGCTTCACGGACTGAGGGCGGTTCCTTTTCAAAATGTGGCTGTCGCGTTAGCGCCGCGAACATTCGCCTTCCCAGAATTGTAAGAGTTTCACGGGTTCCCATGATCAGCGTACCAGAAATGGTGCTTTGGAAGGACTCAGGCTTATGGCGGTGCACAAGGTCTGTTGATTCGCGGTGTTCATGTCCAAGGAATGGCGTTCTGGCACGATCCAGGATCGTCAAGACGCAACAATCAGGTTGATCCGTGGCGTTGGAACCCCAGAAGAATATGTTAATACTTCATGGTCTTCAACCAGTTGTCTTCCAACGAAGCAATTCCCTCAAAAAAACGAACCGTTCTAGGAGCCTATGAAGAGGGAGCTTGGAGGGAGGGTTTACTCCAACATCGTTGAGTATTCTTGGGTTTACACTTGTCCTCCTCCTCCTCCTCCTCCTCCAACTGCAACTCCTCCTTCTGCTCCTCCTCCTCCTCCTGGTAAAGTGTAGCTTCGTCTTTTGCTGTTCGTCTTGTCAATGTGATACACATGATCTGCGCATTCGTGTTCATAGTGACCTTATGTTCACCAGCCCTTATCCTTAAACGTAGTAGCATCACCAGTTGCAGTAATAAGATTCTCTCTGCTCCTTCTCCTGCTCCTGCTCCTCCTCCTCCTCCTCCTCCTCCTCGTCCTCCTCGTCCTCGTCGTCCTCCTCTTCCTCCTCCTCCTCCTCCGTCTCCTCCTCCTCCTCCTCCCCATTCACATTCCCCACCCCTGGTCTCACCCACTTCCTCCTCCTCCTCCGCCTCCTCCTCCTCCTCCTCCTCCTCCTCCTCCCCCCCTCCTCCTCATCCTCATCCTCCCTCTCCTCCCCCTCCCCCTTCTTCATCCCCCTTCCCCCTTCCCCCTCCTCCTTCCCCTCCTCCCCTCCTCCTCCTCCTCCTCCTCCTCCTCCTCCTTGTCCTCCTCCTCCTCCCCTCCTCCTCCTCCTCCTCCTCATCATCATCATCATCATCATCAACATCATCATCATCTCATCATCATCATCATCATCCCTTCCTCCTCCTCCGCATCCCCGTCCTCCTCCTCCTCCTTCTCCTCCTCCCCTTCCTCATCCCCTTCCTCCTCCTCCTCCTTCTTCTCCTCCTCCTTCTCCTCCTCCTTCTCCTCCTCCTCGCCCCCCTCCTCCTCCCCTCGTCCCCCTTCCACCTCCCCCTCCTCCTCCTCCACCTCCACCTCCTCCTCCTCCACTTCCTCCTCCACCTCCTCCTCATCCTTCTCCTCCTCCTCTTACTCCTCAGCTTGCTCCTCCTTCTCCTCCTTCGCCCCCCCCTCCTCCTCTTCGCTGCGTTGGTCAAGTGGTGCCTGGACGCAGGCGCCGCGTCTCAGTCCTCCTCCGCCTACTGCTCCTCCTTGTCAGGGCCTTCGGAAGTCGCCATCGTCGCCACGGCTGGACGCATCTTGGAAGACAGGGCATGACTGTGACCCGAAGGGGTCCAGCAACGCTACAGGGAGCGGAAGAAGGAGGCATGAGGATGGCGGAGTGGGAAGACAGGAGGCGGGTGCACCAGGAGATGCTCGCAAGATCCCCATGGCGTGCCTCCTACACGTTGGAGCAAGAGTTGCAAGGCTCCGCTGGTTCGTTCCCGGGGGAGCGTTGCACAGAGAACGAAGAGGACGTGGACGGAGGGCGCCGCAGCAGGACGCCCCGTGGCAGCTTCGGAGTTGCTGCTGCCACGCGCAACAACCTGGTAATGGGGAAGCCCACAACAATACAACACGTTTACCGTGGCCCAACTCTTGAGACTGATCATAAGCCCCTCAGGTATCGCTGCAGCCATCTATGAGCATGGAAATGACTACCCTGCACCGCGCTTGACCACTCCACTGCTCGCGCAAACATCCCACCCACCCACCCGCAGCTTGGTTCGCAAAATCTCTTGAGACCGTGACGGTGGGTACCAAATGGCACTTGCCAACGACAGCGATGCCGACGACGACAGCGACAACGACGACGACGCCGCCGACAACGACTACGACGACACCGACGACGTCTCCAACGACTTCGACGACGCCGACAACGACGACGACGACGACGACGACGACGACGACACCACGACGACGACGACGACGCCGACGCCGACGCCGACGACGACGACGATGACAACGACGACGACGATGACGACGCCGACGACGACGACAACGACGACGCCGACGGCGACGACGACGACGCGACGCCGCCGACGACGACGACGACGACGACGACGACGACGGCGGCGACGACGACGACGCCGACAACGACGACGAAGACGACGACGCCGACGCCGACGCCGACGACGACGACGACGCCGACGCCGACGAGGGAGGAGGGAGGACGACGACGGCGACAACGGCGACAACGACGACAACGACGAGGGAGGAGGGAGGACGGCGACGACGCGAACGACGAAGAAGGAGGAAGGACGGCCACGCCGACGACGGCAACGATGAGGCAGGAGGGAAGACGACGACGACGACGACGACGACGACGACGACGACGACGGCGACGAAATAGGAGGGACGACGACGAGACGCCGACGACGGACGACGACGACGACGAGGGAGGAGGAGGAAGGACGACCACGGCGACAACGACGACGGAAACGACCACGACGCCAAAGAGGACGACGACGACGAACACGAGGAAAGACAGAGGACGACGTAGCGACGACGACGACGACAACGACGCGGGAGGAGGGAGGACGGCGACGACGACGACGACGACGACGACGACGCAAGAACGCGCGCGCACGCTTTTGTTGAAAATCCGTGTTGCGAAACCTTGGGTGTTTGTAGGTTGTTTGGACGCGCGATTTCGAAATCCTTCCGAAACCGATGGGTTTTGAAGGATTTCGGCGTACGCGCGCGACCACGCGCGCGTCTGTACTCCGTCCCATTTTTTGCAGAGGATTCTCGCGACGGCACACGCGCAAGGGCGTTCGACAGATTTCGACATGCGCGCGCGCGAAGCCCGTTTGGTAGCATTTTGTGAATATCTTGAAAAGCCTATGGTTTTCTTAAGATTTCGCAAGAGCTCGCGCGGAAGTGTTTTAGTAAATCAGTGTTGCGAAACCATGTGCTTTTCTATATCCTTTGGGAACTCGATTGCGAAATCCTTCCGGCACCGAAGGTTTTTGAAGGATTTCGGCATGCGCGCGCGAGGACGCGCGCGTGTGCACTTCGTCTCATTGTTTGCAAGGGATTCGTGAAAAAAAGGCCATGTTAGAACAAACAATGTCACCGCATAGTCTTTTTTTACAAGGGACCCTCAGGGGGGGGGGGGGAAACCGGCCTGCCTGGGATGGTATGATTTCATATTTGCAGACTAGATATATATGAGATTAAACTATCCCAGGGGGAAGCGTTAAGTCCGGGGGGGGGTAGAGCCTATTCTCTTTTTAGAAAGGAGAATTAATGACTCTGAGTGGGACAGCAACACAAGCGACACGTTTACCATACCAAGTGGGACCGTACCAGTAATGCATTCTTGGGCAGGGCGCTAGAAACGCGGAGGAACGGACGATGGTAAGAAAAAACGACTACACGGATACTGAAAACCAAGCGATTGCCATACGGAACGCTAACCCATAACCGAGCCCCCCTCTGTGGCCACAAAAGAGACTAGGTGAATGAGGAGCGCCAGAAGGACCAGTAAGCAGCGCGCTGCTTCCGAACCCGAACTGCTTCTGGATCCAGCGTCTTGACTGCACACGCAGAGGAGAGAGAGAGAGAGAGATAGAGAGCAAGACAAGCTGGACGGTGGATGAAGGCCGCGGCAAGAGACGGCAGCGTAGGAGCGACCTCCTCCCGCAGGCGAGAAGTGCACGTCTCTGCGCCCGAGGACCTGGCTTGCAGCTGTCTGCGCGCACAGTGCACCAGGGCCCTCGCTGTTCGACGTCCTCCTCAACCTCGTCCTCCTCCTCCTCCGCCTCCTCCTCCTCATTGACGACTTCGTGAGATGATGCTCGCGCGCTGAGATGTACATTCGTTTTCGGGCATCGTGGCACCAACGTGCTGCCAACGCTCCGACGCCACCGCCGTCATCGTTCTAGGGCAGTCCTCCAGGACGATTGTCGGCGTCCGTCCAGGTCCCTCGCCAACGCACCGCTGCTTCGGTGCCCACTGTCGCATCGCAAGAGAATGTCCAATGCTTGCTGGGGCTAAGCCACAGAGCTTGGACAAGTGTGGGCATAGTCTGCAGAGGGTGCCTGAACATCTCTGGTGATGACTTACCTGCTGGGGCTACTTAAATCCACTGTTGAACGCTGCCCTCACGAGCATTCATTGAATGATTGCGCCGACCCGACAGATGTCACAAGCTCGGAACCGTTTTCCAAATCTGCTTCAGAACCGCTGGCGCTGAGCGGAGTGCCCTCGGCCTGCTTCGAGCTCTCAAGACTGAGCATGTGCCTTCAGGGGCCCAAGGGCCGAGCTTTGCTTGGGCACCCGGAGGCCCTCTGGGCGCCCGGGCCACAACTTTACGGTGCCCTCGAAGCGCTGCTGGGAAGGATAACTTCTCCTCCTCCTCCTCCTCCTCCTCCTCCTCCTCCTCCTCCTCCTCCTCTCCCTGGGATGGTTCCAGACGCCCCCCCCGCGCACGGACCTCTACGTGCGAAGAATCGGCCAACACACATGTTGGATACACCTCGTAGCACTTACACACGCGAGCACCTTTGCCGAAAGCGCAAGGGCCAGGGACGTGTTGGATGCCGCCCTCCGCGCATGTGTTTGCAATTGGGTGCGGAGAATCACGCCGACCACACGTTGGATACGCCAATTGGCGCCTGCACGCGTGCAAACACGTGGGTACCAAATGCGCACGCGCTGGAAGCATGTTGGATACCCCCTCCGAGCACGCATTTCTGCGTATGGAAAGGCAGCCGACCACATGTTGGATACCCACGTCGCGCCTACACACGTGCAAACACATGCCAAAAGCGCACGCGACAGACGCATGCTGGATACCCCTCCTCCGACCATGTGGATTCACGCAAGACGAATCCGCCGACCATGTACATTACATCCCACCAGTGGCCCCTTTCGTGTCGAACACAATGCAAGCAGTGCCAAACGCGCACGCACCAGACGCGTCTTCGATGTCGCCCTCCGCTTGTTGTATTGTGCGCGCGTGGGGAACCCGTCAGGGAATCGGCTACACGCAAGACCGACCCTGGGAAAGAATACGCGCGCCGGCCTGTGCAAGGGTGGGGCCCCTGGGGCCCGCGACAGAGGTCACTCCAGCAAAGGGTCACGCGTACGAGAAGCCGGTAGCGGGATGCATCTGAGGTTGCCCCTGGCTTTCGGGTTGTGACTCGGCTCCCTGGCGGTCTTCTGGAGCGATCTGGGCCGCCCCAGCAGGCTCCCGGCGAGACGCAGCCGCCAGAAGGCGCCCTGACAGCTGGAGGACCCCCGAGAGCAGACGAGAACGCCCGAGACCCGACGAGCCCAGACATCCGACGCTCTGACGCTTTCCATGAAAAGGCCCCAGACGTCCCGGGCCATTCCCCGGGGGGGAAGTCCTGCGCCCCAGATCCATGGCTGATGTCCCCGCACGACAGGGATGCAATCGCCTTGGAAGGCCGTGTCGAAGCTCTTCGAGCGGGGCGCGGCCCGCGGAAGTGGCCAAGCATAGGCCGAGGAGGCAAGGATGCAAAAGTGCCCTTGGCAAGGTTGCCCATCGTTACTATGCGGGCTGACTTCGGGGAACAAGAAATGTGACACAAGCATTAAAAACAATCGGAGGTCCGCGCGGACCTCCGAGTTTTTGTATGTTGATGTTGTGAATCAAGCTCACTCCCCAGGAATGTAAGAGGCCCGAGAGGGTTTCCCCCAGAAGCCTCGAGGGGCCTGTGGTTTCATTCCTTGTTCGCCGCTGCCATTGTTATTTCGAACTAGGGCCTTTGACCTTAGAGCTACGCCCCTCGCCGCGCGAGTCAAAGATATCCAGCGATTATCTTCCACATCACAGTGGTAGCTTGGAGCGAGGCTCGGTTACCCCAGCGCCGCCGCGCGCTGTCCATATTGCCCTGCCGGCGCTGCTCGCCGAAGACTCTGCCAAGACGACGCCGTCCAGGCAAGTGATCACGGAATCGAAGGCCAGCGCCTTCCTGCAGCTGCTGCTGCTCTTTGTGGACGTCAGCGACGCCCAGTCCAACGCCCTGCGCTACTCCAGCTTCTACAAGGCTGCCAGCGTCTGCGACGCCAGCTACTCCAACTTCTACAAGGCTGCCAGCGTCTGCGACGCCAGCTACTCCAACTTCTACAAGGCTGCCAGCGTCTGCGACGCCAGCTACTCAACTTCTACAAGGCTGCCAGCGTCTGCGACGCCAGCTACTCCAACTTCTACAAGGCTGCCAGCGTCTGCGACGCCAGCTACTCCAACCTCTACAAGGCCGCCAGCGTCTGCGACGCCAGCTACTCCAACTTCTACAAGGCCGCCAGCGTCTGCGACGCCAGCTACTCCAACTTCTACAAGGCCGCTAGCGTCTGCGACGCCAGCTACTACAAGCTCCACAAGGCCGTTAGCGTCAGCGACGCCAACTTCAACTTAGAGGACGTCAGCGACGCCCCTTTCGACATCTACAGCTACGCGGTGATCGCGATGGCTGACCACCACAACAACTTCAGCAGTATGAATCAGGTCATTCCGACCTGGAACGGCGACCCAGCTAAGTGGCGAGACTTCAAGCAAGAGGTGAAGCTCTGGAAGCTCAGCGAAAACCTGGAGGTTTCGCACTGCCTCGCGTCGAAGCTGGTGCTTCGCCTTTCTGGTACCGCCCGCTCGGCGGCGCTCAACATGCCAGAGGAGCAGCTCCACCCGATCCCCGACGACGACATCGAGGACCCGACCGAACGGAAGCGCGATCGCAACCTTCGAGGAATCAACAATGTGCTCGACCACCTCGAGACGCACCTCGGCCAGCGGAAGCCAGCACAAAAGGGCGAGACGCTCGAGAAGTTTTTCGAGTCCACGCAACATCACCGCAGGCGTGGAGAACGCATGACGGACTGGCTCGCCTGCTTCGAGGCCGGCCTACAGCAGCTGCGCGAGAACGAAGTGGAGCTCAACGCGCTCGACGACGTGGCGGGGTGGTTCCTGCTTCGCAAGGCCGGGCTGACGGCCGAGCGGCGCGAGCGCGTCGTGGGCAACCTACCCGACGAGCACTACTCCGACCAGCGCATCCGCGCCCTGCTGGTGCGCATGTTCCCGGACCTGCACGCGTCCGAGAGGCGCGCCAGCGTGCCCGCGCGCTCGCGGGCACCTTCATCTACGAGATCCAGCCATAACTGGCAGCGACCACCACCTGGACGGGCCCGATCCACCAACATCGTGGAGGAGCCCGAGGACGACGACGAGCAGGAGGGCGAAGATGACGACGACAACACCGAGGCCGACGTCCAAGACATCGCCCGCCAGGAGCTCGAGGCATTCAGCGCCGAGCTGGAGTCGTCCAACGTGGAGATCTCCGAGCTGTTCGACGGCGACGACTCCGCGAAGGTGGAGGCCGCTGCGGCCGATCTGGCCGCCATCCCCGAAGCCATGGCCACCATCAGGTCAGCTCGGGACGCCCTCAAGGGCCGCGGGAAGGCATCACGCCAGAGACGCCCACCCGCCAAGAACCTGCAGAGCCGCGTCGACCAGCGCAAGAGGTCATCGCAGTGCTGGGATTGCGGCGAGAAGGGCCACTGGACCAGCGATAGGGAGTGCCCTGCAACGGGAGCCCGCAAGTTCGCGCCGTCCAAAGGCAAGCCCAAGGGTGGAGGACGTGATGAACGCTCCCACCGCCAGGCGAACATCACCGAGCAGGTCGAGTTCGGAGACGACGAGGTCGCCCTACACCCTGAAGGGCCAATGACCCCACCGCCAGAGACCCTGGTCTCAGAGCGCGTCATCCCGGACCTGCCCACGATTAACACTACCAATAAAGGCACAAGACCCAACGACGACGGCATCGGCGCCATGGACACCGCCTGCCTATTCTGCGTCGCAGGTCTCAAGTGGTACCAGCGCTACAAGGACAAGCTTATCAAAATCGGCCTTGGCGATCAGATCCTGGAGGAGCCAGAGGGCGAGGTCTACCGCTTCGGAAATGGAGGCACGCTGCCCAGCAAGCAGCGCGTCGCAGCCTCACTCGTTCTCTGCGGTCGTGCTGGACGCATCGTGTTCAGCGTTGTGGACAGCCCCGCCCTCGGGCTGCTCATCGGCCGCGACTTCATCGAGCCCTCTAAGATCGACATCTCACTCCGGAAGGGCCAGATCCGCATCGGCAACGCCTCGCAGAAGCTTGTCACCAGCAGCGCGGGACATCCCGCCATTCAGCTCCAGCCCGAGGACTGGGGCGCCATGAGGGAATCCAGTACGGACCTCACCCGCAAGGGTCAGCTGCCGACCGTCAACAACACCACGAAGGACACTACGCTTGATGAGCGCATCTCGATGCTGCTCCAGAAGAAGGAGCTCGACGTACCTCGGCGTCCCCAGCCAAGGAGATCTAAGGGGTCACGGCTGATGGCCTCAGTGGCATCTGCACTGGCCTGCTGCTCTATGGCAGCCACTCCACCGACTACCTCGACTCCTATGCGAACAACCTACAACACCGAGCCCACGAACGACTGCGTCGCCTGTGGGTCTACACCGTACGAGGACTGCCTACACCAGGGGTTTTGCCCGGAGTGCGCGTTCGGCTCGTCGGTTTCGCTCGGCATCGAGAACGACACCAAGAAGGAGGTCAACATCGCGGAGGAGGAGCAGCTGAGGATCCGCACTCTCGAGAAGGGGACGAAAACGCTGCTCGCTGCAGGACGGCGCTCGGCCATCGTCACCAACAAGAGCGGCATCATCCC